AGTAAATAAGTAATATATATATATATATATATATATATATATATATATACTTATATCTCCGCCTATGATGCAAGTTGTAACTCACGTATATATTTGCAAAAGAGGAGAGAGAGTAGAATTTACGATACAGATTCACGAACATTGTGTTTTGAGTAGAATTTACGATACAGATTCAGAAACACTGTTAACACCTACAAGTTTTTTAACCTTAAGAAGCAAACATGTGATTCATTTTCCGCCAACATTGGTTTCCATTACAAACACAAGGAACTAGAGGCTAGACTTTAGCACTCTATCACAATCCACTACGTTCTCTTACTTTTTCCTTGACTTTTTTGATGATCTCCTGCTTTCAACTTTTCTCTGTGCAGCTTCGAACTCTTCTTCGTTTGGCTCAGAGTCGGCACTGCTACCATACCTAGAGACAAGTGACGAGAACAATGTATCGAACTTCTCTTTCCTCTCATCTCTTCGCTGGGATATCATTGCGTATAAATCTTTATCTGCACCCTTTGCTACTCTAAAAAGTATTTAAATTTGAAACAGGTTACAACAATGTTTAATTTCACCGGGAATTTATTGGAAAAGAAGGTGGACATAGGGAAGCTTACTTCCGTCTCATTTTCTGAGGATTAGTGGGAGGTTCTATTTCAGAAATTTCCTTTGCCCATTTCTTGTAAGCTTTTGTTGATTTCACTTCTCCTGCATAAAAGGAAACAATGGTTTCATAACACGCAAACAAAGCAGAACTTGAATGTGTTTTGTAAACATAATTATTACAAAAGAGAGAGGAAAAGGGAGAAGCCTACCCACTGCAATGGCCTCATCAATAATGTCCTTGAAACGGTGTGAATCAAGCTTGGGGTTTGAGCAAAGCATTGAGCAGAAAAGCCTGGAAAATATATACAATAGTAACAACACTGTTTATATAAACTTCGATTCACAAACTCAACAATAATGAAAACAAGGGGATAGTAAATACCTGCTCATTTTACCCTTGAACTTCTTATAGAGCTCAATCAAATCATTTTTTTCGGATTCAGATCCCCTGTAGTTTGCCTCAAACTCTTCAATATCTTCCTCAGTGACCTATAACATAATTGCCACAAGAATTAGTTTGTGAAGGAAACAGAACAAATCACTTGTGTGCAAAGTCCAAAAAGGAACCAAGTGTGTGTGGTCTGCGTCACCTTCTTGTACATAGCCCTGAAGAAGTCTCTCAAGTTGTCAACCACGTCTCCTGATAGATCCTAATAAGATGGAAAAACCAGTTTGTAAGAAAACCTAGCAGTATTCTCACTTAAAAGTTAAATAGCCTTCTTTCACCAACTTCACTGAACAGAAGCTGGAAACGGTTGTACTAGAGACTGATACATGTGCTCTGTATAAGTGTGTAAACAATCTTACAAATTACCAGCATGTTTAAAAAATACTAAAACTAATTCATGAAGATAACAAGAACCAGACTTACAGCATCATCAACCGAGCCAGTTTGATCATAGACTGCCCTTTTCTCTTCATCACCGAGGATTGATATTACCTTTTGCAGCTGCTGAAATTTCTCTTTAGCATCCTGTATGAATCAGAAATTCATGTTTCCATGTAAAACTGGATATGACCCATAGAAACTAAGAAAAGTAAAGAAAAAAAAACTCAAGAGTGAGAGATTAACCTCATCATCCTTGTTTTTATCAGGATGAAGCCTCAATGCTAGCTTATGGTATGCCTTCCTTATCTCCTGTGGAGATGCTGTTGATTCCACACCAAGAACCTACAACGAAGAAGGACTATTAGTTCGTCTCATTGATTTATAATCATAGAATTTGATCACCAGCAAACCAAAAGAATTCTCAATTCTCAGACAAAAAAGATTGCAACAGCCACGGTACAAACTTAAAACTATAAATCATAAACAAGTAAAGTTCTGGTTATTACAATCCTAACAATCAAACGAGACTATCACACTGGAACATTCATCAGACGGGATTAGCACAGGAAAAATTGACAAAACAATCTAAAGTATACAACTATGGATTGAGACATGCGAGCTATAACGGATTAATTGGAACAGGAGAAGCTTAACTGGAACAACCCCCAAATCCAGAAATGAAAACCCTAATAAAGCCTAATCGCAGACAAAAAAACGAAACGAAGAGACAATTCGCAGAGGATAAAGAGAAGTGAGAGATACCTCGTATAGATTTTTCTCACTGGATCTACCATCATTCTCCATGCTCAGCGTCCTTGTGCGAGAAAGAACACACTCACTAGAGAAGCGATCAAGATATCCAAAAACAAAAAAAAAATGGTTTATGGCGCCAATACCTTTTTATGTTGCCGCCTCTTTAACTAAACAGTGTAAAACCTAATCTGGTGACTGAAATTAAGGAGTACTGTAATTAAACCGAGTTTAATTTTTGGTTAATACTAACTTCGAGTTGGTTCTGATTGCGCCGGTTATGACTTTACCGTACCGTACCGTGCCATCATTTAGTTTTAACTTTAAAGCTGGCGAGTAATATATAAACGGCCAAGATGAAATTTGGTGTTTGTGATCCATGGTCCCCGCATCGGCCGTTAATCCTCTCTTTTGCTTTCTCTCTGAATAATTTGTTTTTGTTTCTCTTCTCTCTCTGCCTTAACCACCATCCATTGTGATATGAGTGTCTTGTACCGTTCATGGTAGGTTCCAAGACTCGTCGCGTTTTGATCGATCTGTGTTTGAGAGGAGGAGGAGGAGCTTTTTCGTGTTCGTGATTCTGGACAATTTTGGCGTACGTTTGTTGTTGTTTTTTTTGTTCGAATAGGAATTTTTTAAAAATAAGAGGGAAAGATGTCTAATTTGTATGGAGATTATAACCAAAAGATCGATTACGTTTTCAAAGTCGTATTGATCGGTGATTCCGCGGTTGGCAAAACTCAGCTGCTTGCTCGCTTCGCCAGGAATGAGTTTAGCGTCGATTCTAAAGCCACCATCGGTGTTGAATTCCAGACTAAAACGCTCGTCATTGATAACAAAACCGTCAAAGCTCAGATTTGGGATACCGCTGGCCAAGAAAGGTTTTTGCTTCTTCTTTTTTCTTCCTTTGCACTTACTTACTTATTTTGAGATCAAGAGTGGCATGTATATATAACACAATTTGGTTATTGTCGGAAACAAACATTTACAACTCATCATCCGTTTCAGTCATTAGTTTTGTTCTTCTTCAAATGTTAGGCAACATATCATTCCATCCCATACACCTTAGACATACATGTGAATAACAAGGTTGGAATGGATTATCTTGAATATTTGTTTCTGAGATTGAAAATAACCAGTATGCTGCACTGATAATGTGGCGACAGTATTTGGAGAAGCATGTAGAGTAATTGAAATATAACAGAACCAAAGATTGGTTTGTACTCTGTACTAAACACCATATAGATCCACCTTTGCTTTTGTTACTCTATGAACGAAAATGAGCATGCCCACTTGAGTGAATCAGTTTTATTCTGCAATATTGGTCGATAATCACCAACTATCATGTGTGCTAGAGACTGATTCATTCTGTTTTAAGGCTCTCTTGGTCATTCTGAATCAAACTTTTTTGACTCTTATTGTATTGCAGATACCGGGCGGTGACAAGCGCATACTACCGTGGAGCAGTTGGAGCAATGTTGGTGTATGACATGACGAAACGTCAGTCATTCGATCACATGGCGAAATGGCTGGAAGAACTAAGAGGACATGCGGACAAGAACATAGTGATAATGCTAATCGGGAACAAATGCGATCTGGGAAGCTTAAGAGCAGTGCCAACGGAAGACGCACAAGAGTTTGCACAAAGAGAAAACTTGTTCTTCATGGAAACATCAGCCCTGGAAGCAACAAATGTTGAAACAGCATTCTTGACAATCTTAACAGAGATATACCGTATAATAAGCAAGAAATCACTAACGGCTGATGATGATGACGCGGATGGTAATTCTAGTCTGTTGAAAGGAACTAGAATCATCATCCCGAGTGAGCAGGAGAGTGGGAAAAGAGGTGGATGTTGCGGCAAATCGTAATTCCTACTAAACGAAAGCCAAATATATATTGTATTTTTCTTTTCTTCTTGTTGCTTTGTTGGTTTGTTCCGCTTTATTGTGATTCTTTTATTCGTGTTAGGCCATTTGTTCTTGATATGAAACAATATGCCAAGGTTTACTAGAGAGAAAAAAAAAACAAAAAGCATGATAATGAAACCAAATGCCCCTCAATTTCTTTGTTGGATGCATTGAAAAACAAACACAGAGGACAACCAACCAAACAGATACCATCTCCAACTCATACCAGTGGGGCTTTTTCAATATCATATTTGTTGCAAAAATTTGTCACTGTCAAATGTCAACCTTTGGACGGATGAGATATTGGATAACGTTTCTGTCCGAATAAAAAACCAAAACCCAAACAATGGGCCCACATAATGCCTGCCAGCGTGGCATCTCATGATGATGTTGTTGTGTACTTTCTTCTTCTCTCAATCTCAAGCAGCCCACGCCCACCGTTTCTCTCCTATTTTTTCTTCAATCCTCACGCTTTCTTCTTCTTCTTAGATTTCTCCATCGAGCCCTTTGCTTTTCAGATTTCTTAACCTTGACTTCCAAGTCAAACTCTTCGATTCGTTTATGGATATTACTTCCATTTGTCTTTCTCACCAGATCTGAAGCACCCACCCATATCCGATTTCTCGTATTCGATTCACCGTATTTCTCAATTTTTGGGTCTAAACAGGTTAATTCTAACAATGGTGACGATCAAATTGGGAATGCTCCATTATGTAATTGACCATGTCTACGGAGCGTTTATGCACCGCACGAAGATTACGCAACCCTTCTTCTCCCGAGGATGGGGTGGTCACAATCTCGAATTGCTCGAGCGGATTGTCAAACAGCTCTTCCCTCTTGAGGTTCAAGGTCAGAATTGGCCACCGCCTTTGGTTCGTCCCGTTTGGAAGACTGTCTGGGAGACAAAGACCGCTACTTTGAGAGAAGGTGTTTTCCAGACTCCCTGTTGCCATGAGCTTGCCGCTGCTTTGCCTCCTGAGTCTCGCACCGCCAGAGTTGCTTGGCTTGTCCCCAAAAACGTTCCTCCCCAAAAGATGGCCTGTGTCGTTCATCTTGCAGGTTTGCACCATTGCTGATTCTCGTGTGTTTTGATAATGTGAATATTTTCCCAATTTGGAATTTATCAAACATATATCATAGTTTACGGTCAATGACCAGAAGGAGAGAGATCATGAGTCAAAAAAAGATGTATCGTTTATGATTTGAATGCTTACTGTAATTGGTGTGTAATAATAACCATATTGCTCGGCTGTATTGTTGAATGGCTTGTTTCTGTGATCTTACTTTGTGCATAGCCCTTCTTAAGTCAATGGCTTTTTACTTCCATCGGATGGGATATTATAATAGCTTGCTGATAATGCGTTTGCAATGCATTGATGTAGGCACAGGTGATCATACATATGACCGAAGGCTGCGTCTGGGTGGACCTTTGGTGAAACAAAACATTGCAACGATGGTGCTGGAAAGGTAATGAAAGAGACTTTTTCTCCCTCTGGTGAAAGCCTTAAGAGCAAACCTTTTTGCTTCGACCGCTTTTGAAGCTTTTTTGCCGTGTTTTTGATCAAACATAGATAATGCCACTGCAGCCCTTTCTATGGCCAGAGGCGTCCGTTTCTACAACGTGGTGCCAGACTCCTCTGTGTTAGTGATCTACTTTTACTAGGGAGGGCAACAATTGAAGAGTCACGCAGTCTTATTCACTGGCTAGACACTGAGGAAGGCTTTGGAAAGATGGGTGTTTGTGGGCTTAGTATGGGTAAGTTACATTTATCTTCTTCTCTGAACAACTTATCAGCTATTGCATTGGGTCTGAGATGAGTTTTCTGCAAATGTTGTGGGGTTTGTTTTTAGATCTCTCTACAGAGTTATAGATAACTAAGCTGCTGCTAGTTATCCTTTGCTAATAAGAATCAGCATAGTGTCCAACTCCTTATTAAGCTTCTCAAATGCATGTGCACCCTTAGATTTAGGTTTAAGTGTTAGGATTAGACTAATTTATTGTTGTGAGAGTCATATTCACAATTTGCATCCATTAAGGGATCTATGTGGCTGCAACTCCATTCGTTCGTTGAGTTGTTTTCTTTTCGCTTGAATCTGATAACGGTTGGTGAAAATATTAGGAGGAGTACATGCTTCGATGGTTGGTTCGCTTCATCCAACACCAGTTGCAACACTTCCATTCCTATCTCCACACTCTGCGGTTGTTGCATTCTGCGAGGGAATACTAAAGTATGGAACCGCTTGGGAGGCACTGAGGGAGGAACTTGCAGCAGAGAAGATCACAATGACACTAGATGAAGTGAGAGAGCGGATGCGAAATGTCCTCTCCCTCACAGATGTCACTCGCTTCCCTATCCCCAAGAACCCCGATGCTGTTATCTTTGTTGCTGCAACTGTAAGTAGAAAAACGAATCTATAACTCACTCGCATAATTCAACAGTTTTGGACACACACTGCTGGTTATTGATTATAATGATTTGTGTAGGATGATGGATACATACCGAAACACTCTGTGTTGGAGCTTCAAAAGGCATGGCCTGGTTCAGAAGTGAGATGGGTAACAGGTGGACACGTATCCTCCTTTCTGCTGCACAATGGTGAGTTTCGTAGAGCAATCGTGGACGGTCTCGATAGATTGGAGTGGAAGGAGTCATGGTGACTTAATAACAACACATATACATCACACAACCCCTTTGTAACACAACAAAGGGAGGGGTCATTATGTAAATGTCTAAATCTCCTCGTGTTGTATGTATGTTTTAAGAAGAAAGAAAATTCTTTTCGCTTTCGAAAGTGGTGGGCTCTAATATTCATTTGTCTTGTATTGTTTGTGTCCCAACACATAGCAACCATTTTTGGTGTTTTCACTCATTACATTCCCCATTATTAAAGTCTTTAACACTATTTTTTTCTTTGGTGTTTTATTTTAGGGAAAATTAGCATTATAGTATATTTTCAAAACTTAATTTGTGATATAGTACATTTACTATTCAAAATTGGATAAATAGACAATGGGTCCACTATGTGATATAGAGAATGTGTGAGATAGATGAGAAAGTGGGGTATAGTGTAGTGGTGGTAAATTACAAAAAGGTAGATGTACAAAAGGTATCTGTACAATTCATTTGTACATATAATATGTGTACAGTTTGATATGTACAATTGTATTTGTACATATAAATCATATTGTATAAATACGTGTACAATACAATATAATAGTCAATATACATACAATTATATTTGTACATATATCATTGTATATAGTTTTTATACATACATTTTTCTGTACATATAATAAATATACAGTTTGATCTGTACAATTGTATTTGTACATATATCCTATTGTACAAATACGTGTACAATCGTTTACGACTTATATACTAATATTTGTACACTTATTAAGTTATACAGATGTACATATGTACACGTTTTAAGTTGTACGGATTAGATCTGTACACTTAGTAAATTGTACATATCTAAAATTAATAAAAATTATTTGTTATTATCAAATAAAATCTTCAAACAAAATGCATATCATATAATAGAGAAAAAACATAGATTTTTATATATTTGAAACTTGTAAAAATGAAAATTTTTATTGGCTAGTATTTTAGTTTTTAGATTGAAGGGAGAATGTAATAAAAAAGAAAAAAGAAAAAAAAATAAATATTAATTAAAAATCTGAGAGGAAAGAAAAAAAATAATTTAATTATATATTAGTGACATTGTTGTAAATAAGATGTTTTGATGAGGATTGACAAGGCAAAAAAAATAAAATAGCATAGTAAAAATATGGATTTTGCTAATTGTAAATAGTAATTGTACTATTTCTACAATTATGTTTCAAAAACTGTCTATTTCTTCAATTATTCCTTTATTTTAGCATGTGTTTATAATTATTGTACTCGCTCTGATTGGTTCAGTAGCTAACGTATGCACATAAAAAAAAAAAAACACATGCTAAAACATTTGTGTACCTAATTATTTTACCCGCTGTAATTGGTGCAGTGACTACTGACTAGAGAATCAAAATGTACAGTTCTCACCTATACAGTACAACTTCCAAAACATATATGATGGAAATTACCGCGCTTATGTATATGATGGAAATTACAACTTACAGAGATATATGATGGAAATTACCGCGCTTATGTATATGATGGAAATTACAACTTACAGAGATATATGATGGAAATTACCGCGCTTATGTATATGATGGAAATTACAACTTACAGAGATATATGATGGAAATTACCGCGCTTATGTATATGATGGAAATTACAACTTACAGAGATATATGATGGAAATTACCGCGCTTATGTATGACTTCAATTTATTTTATGAAAGCGAATATTGTACGTTGGGAAGAGTGTAGAACACTGACTGCAAATTTAGTAACATTACACAGCTGTGTTCCATTGAAATCTCTGTTATATATCAGAACTTGCTTCAATGCTCTAAAACAACACCAAAATCATCACAATGAAGCTCCTCTTTGTTCATCATCTCTCTATCTTCTTATTAACCCTCTTTATCTCTCTCCCATCTTCATCCAGCTGCACCCCAAATGACAAAAATGCCCTCCTTCAAATCAAGAAATCCCTGAACAACCCTCCCCTGCTCTCCTCTTGGAACCCTCGAACCGACTGTTGTACCAGCTGGACCGGCGTGGAATGCTCCGACCACCTCGTCACATCTCTCACCATATCCTCCGGCGAAATCTCCGGTCAGATCCCCGTCCAGATCGGTGACCTCCTTGACCTCCGCACGCTCGATTTCAGCTACCTGACCCACCTCACTGGAAACATCCCACGCAGTATCACCAAGCTCAAGAATCTTGACCTCCTCCGGTTAAAGCAAACCAATCTCTCCGGTTCGATTCCTGATTACATCAGCGAGCTCAAGACCCTCACGTTCTTGGACCTTTCCTTTAACCAGTTTACCGGTCCAATCCCCGGTTCGCTTTCTCAGATGCCGAAGCTTCAAGCCATTCAGATCAACGATAACAAGCTAACCGGTTCTATACCAAACTCTTTCGGTTCATTTGTTGGCAACGTCCCTAATCTCTACTTGTTTAACAATAAGCTCTCAGGTATAAAGCCATCATTTTCTATTTCTTTAATTGAATAGTATACTTTTTGGTCAAATCCTTTTTAATGTCAGAACTTAGAACTAGCATCGTACTTTTAAATGAAAATCTTTAGGACTTTTATATAAATCAAGATATAGATTATTTTGGAATTAAGATATTATTTTATAAACAACACCAAAATATTTTGGGATTAAGATTTATAAATCAATAATATTGCTTCATTTACAGGAAGGGTACCAGAATCGTTGTCCAAATACGACTTCAATGCAGTGGATCTGTCGGGAAATGGTTTCATGGGAGATGGTTCGATGTTCTTCGGACGGAACAAAACAACAATACGAGTGGATCTGTCGAGGAACCTGTTTCAGTTCGATCTCTCCAAGGTCAAGTTCGCTAGAAGCATAGTTTCGTTGGACCTGAGCCAAAACCGAATCTTCGGCAAGTTTCCACGGGAGTTGAGTAAGCTGCGCCTAGAGCATTTCAACGTGAGCTACAACCATCTCTGCGGGAAAATCCCAAGTGGCGGTCTCCTTCAGACCTTTGAACCATCTGCTTTCTCTCACAACCTCTGTCTTTGTGGCACACCTCTTAAGGCTTGTTAGATTTAGTTTGATGTTGGCGCAGGCAAAAAATAATTATGTTTGATCTGTGATGATTGAATATACTGTATGTTCATTATCACCGCCAACCAAGTCTATTGTTTAAAATTTAATTAATGGTAAGACAAAAGTAAGAATGTTGTTGAGATTATCAGAATTCTAAGTCTAACATTTATGCGGTTTATGACATATATGCCTCATACTATGAGGTCATAGTTTTGAATTTTGATATAGAGTAAGCACGTTTTTCATATTTGAGCATCCGATAAAACTAATAAACAAAACATTACGTACGAAGAGATAAGGTTTTAGAAATTGTCTGGTGAAGTGACGAGCGTACGTTCAAAATAATTGAATATCGAATCAAACTGGTTCCCCGCATCTACAAACCTTAAAAGAGAATACAATACGAATTAAGGGAATTATGTGAAAAGAATATTGTACGTTAAGGTGAAGTGGAGAACCCATACTGTACAAAACCAGTAACATTTTACACAGCTGTGTTCCATTATTATATGTTATATATATATTTCGAATGAATGTTAAATTTATATATATCACTAAATAAGTTGTATCAATGCCCAAAGTAACCACACCAAAATCATCACAATGAAGCTCCTTCTTCTTCATCTCTCTATCTTCTTCTCCATCCTCTTCACCTCTCTGCCATCTTCTCAAAGCTGCACCGCAAATGACAAAAACGCTCTACTTGAAATCAAGAAATCACTGAACAACCATCCCCTCCTCTCATCTTGGAATCCCCAAACCGATTGCTGTACCGGATGGAGCGGCGTCGAATGCACTTACGGTCGTGTCACTTACCTCACCCTTTCCTCCAAAAAATTCTCCGGAAACATCCCACCAGCCGTCACCAAGCTCAGGAGCCTCGACACCCTCTTCTTTAAGTACAGCAATTTCTCTGGTCCCATTCCTGATAACATCAGCGACCTCAAGAACCTCACCTACTTGGGCCTTTCCGAGAACCAATTGACCGGTCCAATTCCCGGTTCACTTTCACAGATGCCGAAGCTTTTAGCCATTCACGTCAACGATAACAAGCTTACCGGTTCTATACCAAACTCTTTCGGTTCTTTTGTTGGCAACGTCCCTGGACTCGAATTGTCTAACAATCGGCTCTCAGGTATAACCATCATTTTTTACTTCTTTAATAGTACAGTACATATTCAATGATGTTAAATACAGTAGTAGGATTTTAAAATATATTAATTACTTTATTATTAGGATTAATTTTCAACTAGATTAAGGTTTTGTTAATGAATATTGATAAATCCCGGTTTAAAAAAACTACAGGAAAAATACCGGAATCGTTGTCAAAACACGACTTCAACGTGGTGTTTCTGTCGGGAAACAGTTTCGTCGGAGACGGCTCGATGTTCTTCGGACGTAACAAAACAACAATACAAGTGGATCTGTCGAGAAACAAGTTTCAGTTCGATCTCTCCAAGGTCAAGTTCGCTAGGAGCATACTTACGTTGGATCTGAGCCAAAACCAGATCTTCGGTAAGATTCCTCAGCAGCTGACTAACCTACGTCTCGAGCGTTTCAACGTGAGCTACAATCGCCTCTGCGGTAAGATCCCACGTGGAGGTTTCCTTCAGACAAGTGAACCATCTGCCTTCTCCCATAACCTCTGCCTTTGTGGGATTCCACTAGTTAAGGCTTGTTGATTTGGGTTTAACGGCGGCTCTGATATGTTTAATCCATGGACTATGATTAATATTTGTGTCTAATAATTATCACCGCCGACCAAGTTAATTTGTTCCTTGTAAGAATTTAATGTCAAGAAAAAATGGTAAGAATGTAGTTGTTGAGATATCCAATAAGTAATCTCTTTAATATCTCTATGTGGTTCTCAACCATCACATATTCTCGTATATCACATGTTTCAACTCAACTCAACTAACTCTAGTGAATTGCGATCACAATTTTGCTTCAATCTGCAAGCGACCCAACTCTAGTGAATTGCGATCACAATTTTGCAGTCGCCGCACATCTCAATTCTCAACGGCCAACAACGCAAAACGAACAAAACTAAAGACTTCAAGCAACGTGGTCTTATACACACACATGTGCTAGTATATTTTGGAGATGGTTTGTGTTTTTTCTTTTTGCAAACGATTTGTGTGTTTTAGGAAGAGAAAAATAAGACTGGAATACTGTAAGAAGTAACGTAGACTTATTAGGCTATATGGGCCGGGATTGCTCTTCTTAGTGGGCCTGTGAGATTTTTGATTCCAAAACGAATCGTTTCGTCTTTAAAACGAATGTTCGGCGATTCCGACGCCATCCCCATCCGAGTCCCGGAGAAATCGATCGTAGCTCGGAGCCCTTTCTCTTTCATAAAGATCATTTCTCCCAAGAGGGAAACAAAGTTCGTTTCTTTTATCGTCAAAATCTTTCAATTTTCATCAATTCTTCGTTTTATCGAACGCACGTCAAACCCTTTATCCCCTTCATTGCTTTTTTTCTTTTTCTCTTTGCGGGTCAAGCTTCGATTCGAGCTTTTTAGGGTTCCCTATCTGAATCTGACGACAAGTTAAACCCTCTTGCGGGTTTTTCTTCAAATTTCTGAAAACAGAGGTATGTATAGTGTTCCTGCCCCTTTTGATTCTGGTCCGGAACAATTAGTGATTTGGGCGTTCCATGTCGAATCGAACCTTGTGTTAGCTCATCTCCTCATGGAGATATATGTCCGTTCAGGGTCTTGTCTAATTCAACACTTTTGCGGCTGGTTTTAGGCTCCGAAGCTTTAAAGAGGGTTTAGGGAATGTTTAACCGGAAGTTAGGATTTTAGGGTTTCGGAAATAATTATGGAGCGTTCTTGACTTATTGAATTAGGGGAATTGTTATTTCTTGTTTATATTGCTTCAACCGCCCCTTCATTTTCAGTTAGCTGTGGATGGCCTCGATTTCTATAGAAATTAGTGTTTTCTCTGATGAATGACCTTCTGTAGTTGGCTGAAAAATTTCGTCATATTCTTGTTTGAATTATCTTTCCTTCTGAAATAGATTAGAATGTTCTTACCGTGAACGATACCCTTGAAGAAGAAACAGATTACTTCTTTACTAATATACTGTTATCTGCCTATTTAGGTGCTTTCACGCTGTTCTCTAGGGTTAGAGAAGTTATAGATCTCATTGTCCAGATTTTTCCTAGTAAATGTTCCAAGTTTTCATGGGTCAGGACATGGTTCTTTTGGAGGCTTCACTTTTAAAAACTGGTAGTTATTTGTGTAGCACTTTTTTTCCATTATATCTGTGTAGCACTTTTTTCCCAACATATTGGGAATGGTTAGACCTGTCTAGTTGGATTATAACTACATTATCATACTCGGAGTTTGGATAAGTAGTAGCACCATTCTTTCATAGCAATACACACATTTAACAAATATCCTAGCTCTCTAAATTACTGATATCAAGTGTTGTCCACATTACAGTAAAGCTTTAAAAAGGGATATCTTTCGTTTTGGATGGGAAGTCTCTGTAACTAAACTACCTAGCGATATGGAGACACAAATTCATCAACTTGAGCAGGAAGCATATACCGCTGTCTTACGGGCTTTTAAAGCGCAGTCTGATGCAATTTCTTGGGTACTCTCTTCCTCCTTTGCTTTGACTGGGTTGTTCTGTCTTCTGTCAGTCTCATGACTATATCTCTGCATTCTATTGGTTGTACAACTTCCTCAATATAGGAAAAAGAAAGCTTGATAACTGAATTACGTAAGGAATTGAGAGTATCTGATGACGAACATCGAGAGCTTCTGAGTAGGGTCAATAAGGATGATACTATCCAAAGAATAAGGTCAGATTGTTTTTTTTTTTTTTTTTTTTTTTTGTAAACCAGTAAGGTCAGATTGTTTATTTGCACCAGTAAAAACAAAACAATAATTTATCCAAAATTTTGTTTATTTGATATATTCTGTATCATAAAACTGTACCAGAGATTGGAGACAAGGAGGCGGAAGCCAAAATACTAGACATGCAACTATTCAGCCTTTTGATGTTCTTCCTAGTCCCACTTTCTCAGCTGCCCGAAAGAAACAGAAAACATTCCAATCTGTAAGTCTTATGTTCCCGTTGTATTTGCACCAATTATAGTTCTTTTGTACTTTCTTCTGTTTATACCCACTGTGTTGTTTAATGTTATTTTTTTTACCAAATAATCTGTGATATGCATGCAGTATCATCCATCAATTGGTGTGACTGGAAATAGGTCATTCAATAATCGTGTGGTACCCAGTGGCATATCAGGAAATGAATCTGCTGAAGCTTTGATCGGAAGAAAAGTGTGGACTAAATGGCCTGAAGATAACCACTTCTATGAAGCAATTATAACCCAGTACAATGCAGATGATGTACTATTTCTGGTCATTGAGTGTAGTAGACTGCTAATTGGGATAGATGGATTGTTGTGACTGCCAAATTTTCTAGAAGTCTTATTGTTTTCTGGTTTTGCAATTTACACACTTATTTTATACGTCACAGGGTCGGCATGCTTTGGTGTATGATATACACGCAGCTAATGAAACGTGGGAATGGGTTGATCTCAAGGAGGTAAGCTCTACATAAAGATTGTTATAATAGTCTTTGCATGTGCTTTCATTTCATCTGTTTTGGTAAGCGCTTGGGTGTCTTTACATGGTGATGATCTCGGTTAGAGCTGGCATTATTATTTTTGTAGATACCACCCGAAGATATAAGGTGGGATGGGGAGGATAGTGGGGTAGCTTTAAACATTGGACATGGAAGTGGATCATTCCGTGGCAACCGAAGAAGCCAAATCCATGGTGGTAGAGGGAGAGGACCCAGAATTCATCAACCAAGAAGAGAACTTGTACCACCACCAACACAACAGAATGGTGGTGGTGGTCGTAGAACTTCCTCTGATGATATTGAATTGTTCAACACAGACTCGCTTGTGAAGGAGGTAAGTTTGTTTTATCTGTTGTGTTCCCATTATGCTCAATGTCTGTTCTAACATCAAAGTTTTTGGTTTAGGTGGAGAGAGTTTTCGATTCTGCGCACCCTGATCCGCTCGAGCTCGATAAGGCCAAGAAAATGCTAAAGGTTTGAGACTAATACCTATCGTGAGTGGTATTGTCGTAATCAGAGAATAATAACACAAGTTTTATGATGCAGGAACATGAACAGGCACTCATTGCTGCCATAGCAAGGCTTGCTGATACTTCTGATGGCGAACTCGGTAATCATAACAAAAGCAGGCTACGTTTCGTTTGCAACCTCAGAATAATAACCATTGAATTTTTGTGCCCTGATGATAATATCTCAATAATCATTTCCAACTTAATGCTAGAAATAATAAGAAGAGACTTTCTCAGCTGAAATAGTTTTGGAACCTGTAAATACATGAATAGGTTGAAATATGGGTCATTCTTCTTGAATCTATATAATTGATTTATCTGCTTGTAACTCATCAGATGGAGATCCACCATATTCGCATGATCATCCAATGCCACAGGGATGAGAGAAATACTCTGTCTGTCTGTCTGTCTGATATACTCAGGATTTGGTCGTCAAGGACTCTGGATTTAAGAAGAAACAGTTGTGCTCGTAAGAGATTGCTAAGAAGAGGAAGGGAGCCTTCCTCTAAATTGTTGTCACTAAAATGTAAGAAAAAAATTAAGTTGTTAGGGATTTGGAACGCCTAGGATTTTTTGGTTGTAAGCACAAGTATGTTGTTTAGAGAGTGTAACCTGTGACTATGATTGACCATGTAAATGTTGCTGAGTTTTTTTACCTCCAAGAGATGACTATACCTGCCATGAAAATGCGTACAATAAGTTGTATTGTGTATGTAGCAGCAACGGAATTTTGGCAATTTGCCTTCAAGTGCAGGTGAGATGGGATGCTTAAAGCCTTAAAGTAGCAGCAGCCTTGACTCAAACATGTAATGTATATATTACATTGCACAACCAAATCTGATATGCATACCAAAAACAAGATATCTTTTTATCACGGAAGGAGAAGCACATTTAGAGATGATGCAGCTATTTATCAAACAACAAAAAAGCTAGTGAGATGAGATGCATCCATTCATAGCAGCCTTAAAAGCTAATCATCGTCAAAGGAAAAAAGAGAGAGCTAGAGAAAACACTTACCCAACAAGGCTGGCTAATTGCAGCCGATTCCATTAATCTCCGATCTAGGATGTTAGATTACTGAATCGAATCCATCGCAAACTTGAGAATATATGAGATTCTTCTACACCAGCAGCCCCTACGAGCTTGAAGATTCTGAAGGTATTCATGTTGTAAAGATAGATAGCAGGAATATGCAAAATCTAAACCAGAGACGTGTTATGAAACAAACAAATAAACAAAATAAAAAAAAGGCGAGCTCAGGAAGGTGAATAGAGATGTAATACCTGTTACCTGGAGATACAAATAAGAAACCCCTCCTCCTTAGAGATTGACTGGGATCGCGTTTCCAATAGGTTTCATCTGAGAAACGGTGAAGATGATCGGAGATGATGCGAATTGCTATTATTTATTCGTACAAGTCTAGAAGAAAAGAGAGAAGGGGAAGAGGAAGAAGAGAGAAGCTGTCAAATAATAGAATACAACCAAACCAAGACGCAACGTAGATATCCCTTAGACCTCTTTGTTTACCTTCTTTTTTTTCTCCACGCAAATTGTTTTCTTCTTTATTTTATTTATTTTTTGCCAAATTCTTACCATATTTTTCTCTAATCGTTTAAGAAAAAAATTAATATATAATTTAGTATTCTAACTTTTTTTTTTTTGATAATCCTTACTCCATAATAAGGATAAGCAATAACAATGAAAATTAGATGCCAATGAAAATATTCACCATGATATTTTGTTTACTGTATAAAATTACCTTTTGTCAAATCAATGAAATATAATTTGTTATAGATTTGGCTTAATCCTCTCGATTTTTAAGTCTTTCTAGTTTGTTCCTCATGCCATCATCGTTTCTTCTCCCAAACCATAAGCAAAAAGATATTTATTTAGATACCTTCCCCTCTGAAAAAAAAACAATGGTTCCATATGATTTCAAGAACATTAATGTTGTCCCTATTGGAAACGAGTTCGTCGATCTCATTCCGTCCCATGTTCATTTTAAGACTCCACAAGTTATTCTCCGTAAAGGTTTCAACATCAACCATCACCGTCAATTCTACGCACGCAAGGTTAAAGAGACAGAACTCACTTTTTGCGATAAACTCTCCACCATTACTAATGAGTTTCCTAGCTTTGATGAAGTAAACCCTTTCTACATCGACCTTCTTCGTTCCACTTTTGATCGAGATGACTACAAGTTGTCTCTATGTCAAGTGGATACTGCGACACGCATGATTATCAAAATCTCTAACGATTATGTAACGCAACTCGAGTTTGCTGAATCCTTGAAGCAATGCAAAGCACTTAAAGCGAGAGCTATTGGACAAATGTTTAGTGTGGTAAACGAAATCACTCCTAGTTTGGCTTATCTAGAGCAGATCAGACGACACATGGTAAGGCTTCCTTCCATCGACATAAACACTCCAACTCTTTTGGTTTGTGGGTACCCTGACAATGTGGACAACAAGACTTGTTTTATGAACAAAGTCAACACCGGAGCTGGTGATGATTGCACCACTAAGTCAATGAATTTTGTTGTTGGTCATATTGAGTACAAGGATTTAATGTACCAAGTGATTGATATACCTGGAGTTTTGAATAGGCCTACATTTGGAGACTGTAATGTTATCACCACCTTGGCTTGTCATCTTTCAGCTGCTCTGGTTTTGTTCTTTATGGATGTTTCAGGTTCATGTGGCTACAGTATTCCACACCAGGCTGCTCTTTTCCATAGCTTAATGTCTCTGTTTGTGAATAAACCATTGGTAGTTGTCTGCGATGAGACTGATTTGATGCAAGTCTCTGAACAAGATTGGAAACTGATTGAAGAGATTACCAGTGGAGTGGGAGAAGAAAACGAACAAGTGGTTTTGGAGAGTAGTAATCTGAGGACGGAAGAGGGTGTGATGTCTGTGAAGAAGGATGCGTGCGAGATGCTAGTAGATGGAAAAGAAAGATTGAGTCGCATAGCTCAAGACAAAGCTGAGATTTTGAGGAGCAAATACATCTTGGCTCGTCAAGAAAGGAAAGACGACGTAATTACTCAACCTCAAAGTGATCTTGATGATGATCACAATGTTTCGGACTTGTTAGTTGAGTCGTTTAGGCTTGCGGAGTTTGAACCTGAAGAAGGAATCAAGAAGGATCATCATGAGGATGAAAAAGATGATTTTGTGATAGCCAAGGAACATTCTTATAGGGAAGAGCACAAGTACGTCCTAATTGTTTCCTTTCGCAAGATTCAACCCTTGCGGTTATTGGTAGCTTTCCTATTGTTGCTTCTGGTAGGGGGTACTTATTATGGAGTCATTCAAGAATGTCTTTCTGCTTTAAGCTTTTCAGTATTTAGGGTTTTATTCTTGTTTCTTTCTTTTTATATTTAAATTTTGTTTATTATAATATCATAAAGGTCATTATCCTATGATTTATATTTTATATTTTTTTGGTCACCGTATTGGAAATTATACTTGTGTGTTTCTTTTTAACTGAATTTTGTGGCATTTTCATTATATCAGTCGGAATATCTGTTGTGGGCCTCCTTGGAATGTAAAAGAGTTATATAAGCTGAGTTTAATGGGCCGATACAAGGTCCTTTCTGTTGACGTCATCATGTACGGTTCACGTTATTGAGCTAATAATTTGCGATTCCGGTTCTGTATCCCTTTCCAGGGACATTTCGGTTTACATTATATTTTGTGCATTGGACCACTCCGGTTTAATTTCCAATAAAAAAACCCGGGGAGAGTTAAAAAAAAAAGAAGGAAAATCTCATCTTTTTCCCTCTACGAGAACCACCTTAGGGTTAGGTTTATTTTCTCGCTTATTCTCTCTTAACTCTTTTTGTTTTTCCCTATTCCGATTTCGATTCGTCTTCTCCGATTAGCCTTTCAATTCGCTCTCTAGACACTAGGGTTATCGATTTCTGAATTCGATTCGGATCTGTACTTAGACATGGATGTTCGTAAGAGAGGACGGCCTGAAGCTGGCTCATTCAACTCCAATGGCGGCGGGTTCAAGAAGTCTAAGCAAGGTTAGTTCTTTCACTTTTCCTTACTTCCTTGTACTCTTTAAGCTACTAAAAATTCTGTTTATCTATATACCAAATCTTTTTTAGTTCTTTTAGTTTTCTGGGAACTGATTAGAGGTTCAAATTCGAGATCTTTAGTTCTTGATAAAAGTAGGTTTTTTTTGGGTTAGGTATGTGATTTACTAGGAGGCTAGTTTTGTCTCGGTGCTTTGTTCTGGTGATTTCGTGTTCTGCTTGCTCACTTATCTGGTTAAGTAGAGAGATTACTGCGAAAAGTTTTGACCTTTTTTCTAATCTGAAGTATATCTGAATCTTATTATGTATTGAATTGAGTGATGATGGATCAGCTTTTGCTAGATGTCACTGTCTCCTGAATTTTTATATTGTTTTAGTTTAATCACTCTTCATATAACCCCATGGCAAAGACTTGGGTTTGCTTGGTTGAATAAGCCTTTTACTATGTCAAGTGTTTCTGTGTTTGGTATGTTTGTATATATGAACACTTTCAAAAAAATTATGCATCCTTTTGATTTGAGGCCTTAATTTTCATATAAATTAATGTATGAATGAGATATTGGATTCTAAAGCTATACATTGAACTTCAGATAAGTTTTTAACTAAAGGAAAACACTTAATGTTTGAAACAGAGATGGAATCATATTCAACTGGTTTAGGAAGCAAATCGAAGCCATGCACAAAATTTTTCAGGTTATAATCCTTTTACTTAACGAATCAATATTTGAATTGTTATCTACCTGCAAGTCTGATCCCAAAAACAAGCAAGTAGTACTGTATGCTAACGAAGTGGTTAGTTGTTATACAGGTATGTAAACAAGTTAAAACAAGTTACAATATGAAAATGTGATGGCTACTACAAACAGATAAGCATATCTGGATTATAATTTGAGAAACTTTTAGCTCAACTGATGATTATAACATACAAAATCAACCAGTACCTATCTTTTGTTTGAGCTGCGACAGTTGTCTAGAGAGGTGTTATATTCTTTTGTTTTGTTGGTAGGGTGTTAGTAATTTTGGGTATATAATATAGTCATTTATGTTCAGGTAAGGTTCTTGCATGACTATTGCACATGTCTTTCATTGTTAAGCAAAATATTTCCAATCTTTCATTGTGATGAACATTGCTGTTATATTCCTATTCAATGTGCCATTTCTTCTGTGTCTCAATGGTTTATTCTTGTGTTATTGTATTTGCATTGGGTTTAGGTCTCTGATGTATTATGCTTTTGTTGCAGCACTTCTGGCTGTCCTTTTGGAGAGAATTGCCATTTCTTGCATTATGTTCCCGGAGGATACAATGCTGTGTCGCAGATGACAAATATGGGACCACCCATGCCTCAAGTTTCCAGAAACATGGGTGGTGGAGGGCGATTCTCAGGGAGAGGAGAGTCTGGGCCTGGCCATGTCTCTAGCTTTGGTGCCTCAGCCACTGCCAAAATCAGTGTTGATGCCTCTTTAGCCGGTGCAATCATTGGAAAAGGTGGAGTCAGTTCAAAGCAGATATGTCGTCAGACGGGGGCAAAGTTGTCTATACAAGATCATGAGAGAGATCCGAACCTGAAGAATATTGAGCTTGAAGGAACATTTGAGCAGATAAACGAAGCAAGTGCAATGGTAAGAGAGTTGATTGGGAGGCTGAATTCAGCAGCTAAGAAACCACCTGGTGGCGGCGGTGGTGGTGGTGGTGGCGGCATGGGTTCTGAAGGGAAACCACATCCAGGGAGCAACTACAAGACAAAGATATGTGAGAGATTCTCAAAAGGAAACTGTACATTTGGCGATAGATGCCACTTTGCTCATGGTGAAGCAGAGCTGCGAAGGTCAGGAATCGCCTAGGTGTTGCTTGCGTTAGAGAATATGATGGCAGAGCAAATATCTTCTCAAGTGGTGGTGGTATCTGATATCATCTTTCACCTACTTTGTTTTTGTTGGTCATGAGATACAATGTTAGTTTGATATCATTTGTAAGTTTTCTTTTCTTCTTTTCGATTTGGTGTTTTTTTTTTTCTTTTTGATTAGAGATTAGTGTTGGATAAAATCTGAGTTTGAATTGGGATGGGAGAGAGTGATTGACAAAAAGACTTAGAAACAAACAAGGAGGTTAGGATTGTATGACGTATTTTATTCTATATTCTTGTTTTCTCTGTTATTGTCATATGTGAGAGTCACTTATATAAAATTTTCATATGAATATGGGAAGAGTCTTGGCTAATTAAGCAAACAATACTTCTAAGATTCTTTTATTGTGTTTCTGTGTTTTTAAAAATGGTCTAAAAGAAATTATTGATTAGATAGTAAAGTTGAAGAAAGAAAACAAAAACATGGTTGGTGATGAGACTTATTTAAAAAAAAAAAAAGTTGAAAATAAGGAGTGTCGTTATAAGCGGTAATGCTTAGAAAAATAAAAATGAAAACTTAAATCAAATGAAAAAACATACTTAATTACATAACTGGTCGCCGCCTACCTGTTTTTAATCCGCCACCTAAATTGATTTGATTATATTTATTTATATAATATACAGTTAAAAATAGAGATTTGTAATAATCAATCAGAACGAATCTACAAAAGTACACATCACGTTCGTTCGGGTATGCATCCATGGATCCACGTGACAAGCAGAACCAGTTCACCACGAAACAATGTCTGTAGAGATATTTTACTTAACATTTAATATATTAATCAGGTGGCAGAAGAAGAAGCCAAGCCTAAAAACTCTCTCGTTTTTCCACTTTTAGCCCTTTTCCCGCCACCATTGCTTACGACTTTGTAACTTGTAAAGCTATTGCCAAGGCTCAAGGACGTTTCCTCATTTTAAAGACACCACACTTATATACTCGAAGTATTTTTTATTTTGAAATTTTCACTATCACCAGAAAACAAACAAATTTTTTTTTTTACCAATTTAAAATCCGTCTACAATAGCAAAGCAAAAACAAAAAAAGAAAGAAACAAGGGTAATAGTAATAGAGAAACGTAACAGAAATGAAAATGGTCCATGAAATCAAGTGGGGGGGGGGGGGGGTTAGACTAATATGATTTTTAAGTGAAAATGGTGAAAGATCTGCAATTGTCTACTGAGTTGGGACTAGTAATATGTGTTGGTTCTCCCATAGAAGGTGATATTGAAAACAGAACTGTATATATATTGTAGAAGGTGATCGATCCCCACTTATTTAAAAAAGTGAATGTTCACTGTATCTTGTTATTTTCACCCTTTATTTTTACTTGACGGTAAAAATAAAAACAGATATTTTTATGAATAAAAAAAAAGGGGAAAATAAGAGGAGAGGAAAGAAAAGAGGGGGCCCAGTATGTGTATGATGAATAGAGAGGGGAGAGAAAGGAGATGTGAGTGTGTGTGTGTGTGTCAATAAATCTGTGTAACCTTAGGCTTCGACCCAAAAGGGCCCTTTCCCATTTAAAGCCCCCCTCCCCCTCTTCGTCTCTTCCCCCATTCGCATCTGACCTGAAGAGACAAGCCACACAAACACACATTATTAAAAAAAAAAAAGAGAGAGAGAAGAGAGAAGAGAGAGAGAGGTTCTGCGGAGGAGCTTCGTCCTCGTAGGGGGTTCTTCTTCTTCTTCATCGTTATTAACGAAACATTTTGAAGATTTAAATCTCTCTCCCCCTACGTCGTCAGCTCCAGGTCTGTCTCCTTTTTCTCTTTTCCAACATTTCCCTATTCGCTGGTCTGTGTTTTTTCTATCTCTCATTTTTCCGTATATCTACCCACGTTTTAGATCTGCTTCTGTTTCTTGCATTCACCCTTAGATCTGGTCTCCATGTTCTGTTTCTTTGCTCTTTTTTAGTTTGGGAAATCTCATGTTGCTGTTTGTGTGCTGTCTGATTATTTCTAGTGTCTATCGTCCACGAAACGATTTGTTTGTTCTCTACATTAACAATCTGATTTTTTATTAATTTTTCCTTCTTTTTGCCAATAATGAATCGCTGCCCTGCCTTTGACTAATTTATCTCCTTTGAGATCTTTTTTATATAATATTTTTATTTTGTGGTGGGTTGGTAGAATTGAGAGATGAGAATCATTCCAAAATATTCTCTTATCAGTTTCACGTCCTTTCGTTTTTTTTTTTCTTTTTACTGTTGATTCCTTGATATAATTCCTTTTCTTTTAAAAAAATAAATAATAATAGATCTGTAATATATATAGTTTTCTCCCTGGGTAAAAATTTGCTCCTAATGTTTGCTGAATTGCCGTGTTTGAACCTCTTGCTTGATTTGACTTATGCCTACTAGTACTAGGGTCTTCATTGATGATAAACTTTTTAAGTGTTATAAATCAAGACTACATCTATTTTCCATTGTTGAGCATAAACTTTACAATATAGAAAAAGTTGGAATTTAGGTGATTCAGGATTCAGATGCAAAGAAAAAAAAAAGATTTTGCATGACATGTTAATTCTGTTTACTTATAATTTAAATCTGACATGTTGGATGTCGGCAAATTTTGGTGGTTTATATACATCACCTTTAACTGTTTTTCCTTTGGTTTTGTTTGCCAACTTGGTACTTCCCTTGAGGATTTTTGATTTTGATTGATACCTCACTTTATAAATTTGTCTTTGTTTTTTTTCCCGTCAACTTGGTTTTTTATTCAAGTGAATTTTTTGATTTTGATTGAATTTAATTTACAAGAAACTGATGATGATTAACACACAACAAAAGAGATGTGGACATGTCGTATTTAAATCTTATTAGTAGTCGTATTCTCGACGTCAATGGTTTTCTTTCTTTGGTTTCTAACATATCACGCTGCTTCTCTGCTCTTTATTCCTTTTGGTACACGTACTTCCCTTTTCTGGCAATCCCTTTCTAGACCTTATAATCTTTCATTTTTGCTTCATTGTTTTCTGAATTTTATTTTAACTAGTTTGTTGATTTGAGATCTTTACCTAGTCGTTCCTAGCACATGCAAATACATTATAAGCAAGTCTTTTAGCTTGACTGTTCCTTTCTTGAGGTTTCAGCTTTCTTGATTCTTTTGCTGTTGGTTTTCTGCAGAAACATGGGTGCAGGTGGAAGAATGCCGGTTCCTTCTTCTTCCAAGAAGTCGGAAACCAATGCCATCAAGCGTGTGCCGTGCGAGAAACCGCCTTTCACGGTTGGAGATCTCAAGAAAGCAATCCCACCGCAGTGTTTCAAACGCTCTATCCCTCGCTCTTTCTCCTACCTTATCACTGACATCATTATTGCCTCCTGCTTCTACTACGTCGCCACCAATTACTTCTCTCTCCTCCCTCAGCCTCTCTCTTACTTTGCTTGGCCCCTCTACTGGGCCTGTCAGGGCTGTGTCCTTACCGGTGTCTGGGTCATTGCCCACGAATGCGGTCACCATGCTTTCAGCGACTACCAATGGCTGGATGACACAGTTGGTCTTATCTTCCACTCCTTCCTCCTCGTCCCTTACTTCTCCTGGAAGTACAGTCATCGCCGCCACCATTCCAACACGGGATCTCTTGAAAGGGATGAAGTATTTGTTCCAAAGCAGAAATCCGCTATCAAGTGGTACGGCAAATACCTTAACAACCCTTTTGGACGTATCATGATGTTAACCGTCCAGTTTGTCCTCGGATGGCCCTTGTACTTGGCCTTTAACGTCTCAGGCAGACCTTACGATGGGTTCGCTTGCCATTTCTTCCCCAACGCTCCCATCTACAACGACCGCGAACGCCTTCAGATCTATATCTCGGATGCCGGTATTCTAGCAGTCTGTTATGGTCTTTACCGTTACGCTGCTGCACAAGGAATGGCCTCGATGATCTGCCTCTACGGAGTACCACTTCTGATAGTGAACGCGTTCCTTGTCTTGATCACATACTTGCAGCACACTCATCCTGCGTTGCCTCACTACGATTCATCCGAGTGGGATTGGCTTAGGGGAGCTTTGGCTACCGTAGACAGAGACTATGGAATCTTGAACAAGGTGTTCCACAACATCACGGACACACATGTGGCTCATCATCTGTTCTCGACAATGCCTCATTACAACGCGATGGAAGCTACAAAGGCGATAAAGCCTATACTCGGAGACTATTACCAGTTTGATGGAACACCGTGGTATGTGGCGATGTATAGGGAGGCAAAGGAGTGTATCTATGTAGAACCGGACAGGGAAGGTGACAAGAAAGGTGTGTACTGGTACAACAATAAGCTATGAGGATGATGGTGAAAGAACAGTGAAGAAATTGTCGACCTTTCTCTCGTCTGGTTTTCTTTCGTTTAAGAAGCTATGTTTTGTTTCAATAATTCTAATGTCCATTTTGTTGTGTTATGACAGACATTTTGGCAAATTATGTTATGTGGCAAGTTAAAGTTAGTGTTCGAATGTATTGTGTCTGTATTGTTCTTCTCATCGCTGTTTTGCTGGGATCGTAGAAATGTGACCTTCGGACAGTAAAACACTTCTACTAAACTATCTTCCAATTCGAATCGTTTAAAAGTGTTAAAACTGTTATGTACTACCTAGTGACTCTTGACTAAAAATTAACTTCCGCTTAGACCTACCAACAAAAGTTACTTTATAAATCATAAGCATAACAATTGCTCTCTAAATTTGTATTTTGTAGCTTGGATACTAGTTTAGGGGGTTTCGCTGTTTTGTCCTGTTTGTTTGATACATGATTAGGGTGGCTATCAAAAGTGTTCAGTCTTCGTGAACTGAAATAGTGTAGGCCTTTTTTTGGTCATATCTTTATTGCTAGCACTGTATTCCATATATAGTACTGTGATACTGAAGTGAAGCGTGACAAATGTTGAACATGCCATGTCGATGTATTAAAGATGTTTTGAGTTATTAGTGCTGTTTTGGCTGGCAAGTCACAATTCTTTCACATACTCCAATCATGTGGTTCGGCTTTTGATTTCTCTTTTTAGAATTAGCTTTTGGTAAAGAACTCTGTCCTTCCTTGTAATTTATAAAACCCCTTTTAACTAGAATAACATAACACGCCCAATCCCATTACCTTTGGTATCTTTCTTTCTTTCTTTTTTCTTCAGATTTGAGAGTGAACAGAAGAGCTAAAGAAATTGAAACAAATAAAAAACAATCTTTTTTTTTCATTTATAGCAGAAACACCAGAAGAGAATGACAATAAGAAAGAAATGTGGTGAAGAAACATAGAAAACAAAAGAATGTTTTGTAACCAAGTCGATGAACAAAAGGCTTTACCAATACGAAAACAATCTCTCATCCCTTCGATTTGAGCATTAATCTTAGAAGCACTTCCTGTGGACTATTGATGGTCCTGACTCATCATACTCAGCCTTTGATATCCACATCTGAAGAGCAGCATTGTGTATATATCATAGTCAGTAACTATAGTGTGTAACGAGAAAAAACTTTCATAGAGCATAATGAAAAACCGAATGAAGAGTTTACCTGTTGGAAGGTGCTGAGGGAAGCTAGAATGGATCCTCCGATCCAGACACTGTACTTCCTCTCTGGTGGTGCGACTACCTTAATCTTCATGCTGCTTGGAGCCAAAGCAGTGATCTCTTTGCTCATCCTATCAGCAATTCCAGGGAACATGGTGGTTCCACCACTGAGCACAATGTTTCCATACAGATCCTTCCTGATATCAACATCACACTTCATGATTGAATTGTAAGTGGTCTCGTGAATACCAGCAGCTTCCATTCCAACCAAAGACGGTTGGAAAAGAACCTCAGGGCAGCGGAATCTCTCTCCTCCGATGGTGATCACCTGTCCATCAGGCAACTCATAACTCTTCTCAACGGATGAGCTTGTGTTTGCTGTCTCCATCTCTTGCTCGTAGTCAAGAGCTATGTAAGAGAGTTTCTCTTTCACGTCCCTTACGATTTCACGCTCTGCTGAGGTAGTGAATGAGTAACCACGCTCGGTTAAGATCTTCATGAGGTAATCAGTAAGGTCACGCCCTGCAAGGTCCAGACGCAGGATGGCGTGTGGAAGAGCATATCCTTCATAAATTGGAACAGTGTGGCTCACACCATCTCCAGAGTCCAACACAATACCTGGAAACACAAAAGACAACTAACATAAGATAAGATCTAAGAAAGGGAATATGAAACTTGAAAAAAGCTTGCTCAATGCATATTAATTCTAAGTGGATTAACTGATTGAAGAAGATGTGCTTACCAGTAGTACGACCACTAGCGTAGAGGGAAAGAACAGCTTGGATAGCGACATACATAGCGGGTGTGTTGAAGGTTTCAAACATAATCTGAGTCATTTTCTCACGATTGGCCTTGGGGTTGAGAGGAGCCTCAGTGAGAAGAACAGGGTGCTCTTCGGGTGCAACACGGAGCTCATTGTAGAAAGTGTGATGCCAAATCTTCTCCATGTCATCCCAGTTGCTAACGATACCATGCTCAATTGGATATTTCAACGTCAAAATACCTCTCTTAGACTGAGCCTCGTCGCCAACGTAAGCATCCTTTTGTCCCATACCAACCATCACACCAGTGTGGCGAGGGCGCCCAACTATACTGGGGAATACAGCTCTCGGTGCATCATCCCCAGCAAATCCAGCCTAAGGATCATTGCAAAACGTATATATATATAAATTTCATAAAAAGGACTCATGATGATCTTATCACACATTTGTATGCAAAAAAGAAGAATTTGTAAGGTATGTTAGACATTTACCTTAACCATTCCGGTTCCATTGTCACAGACAAGAGGCTGAATGTCTTCACCATCTGCCATTTTCTATTTTCCTGTACGTAAATTGATTATCAATAATATTAGCATCATATTTCGAACGTGAAAATTAAAGAACCCTTTTATTATGCCAACTTGGTAAACAAACAGAGGAATCGTAAGATTTCTCACGAAAAGCGTTACGTACGATAGAGAAAACGTTCCACTAACGTAAGGAACGAAATGAATATACACATATTTGAGGATGAAATGATGAACTCAGAACGTTAAAATCGATGATGAACATTAAGGGAATGTTTTTACCTTTTGTTTGAGGGATCTCTGAGAGGGGGTCGTGTCGTCGTGTGTGTTTGGTTTGTGAGAGAGAGAGAGAAGAAAAAACGAAAAGAAACGTAGCGAGAATGAAGGGGAAAAAATTGTGAGCTTCAGAATTGAAGTATAAGTAGGAAGAGAGGCCCCTCTCACCCCATATAATACGATGGAGAAAGAAGATCTCAGCCGTCGATTTTATTATTTTGAATCTCTCTCTTTGAACAAAGGAGGAGGACCCCACGACCAGTCACGTTGTTGGTGGAAACAGCTGTCTTGTCTTTCCAAAAGAGTTATCAGTAACTGACACTCAAAATTTTTAATTTAATTTTTTAATTAAAAGTGTGTTTCAAAATTTGGTAACCGTAATCTCTCTCTACTACTACTACTACTCTGTAAAGTAATTTAATGGGCTGGAAAAGAGTTCCTTTTAATGGGACGACATCTACCTAAAACAAACCATATTAATGGGCTGGCAATTGTTTGTTAACATTTGTTATTTGTAATATACTACTACTACTACTAACCAACGCTCTTTAACAATACCACCTCCTCCTTATTCCTTTTCATTTTTTGGTATATAGCTTTGTGGTTGTTGGACATATAAAGGAAAACGTTTATTCGTTTCCCTTTACTCTAGGTCCGACTCCTTTTTGTCGTTTGCTGAATAATAGAGACAGAGAGGTTGCATTCGTCTCGTCATTGACTCATCTACAATATGAAACCATATATGTCCCTTCATGCAAGTGCCGAGCTGAAATATCCGCTGAGCTAAATCGGCCGACTTATATTTATGGGATCGTCAGACGGACTTTTAAGTCAGTTTTGTCAGACACTACCACCTCTAACATTACACTACACATGTCTGTTAAATTCGACGTATAATTGATCCGGACAAAATAATTTTCTATTTATAAACCCACCAGGCCACCACACTCAAAAACCCAACCAAGTCCATTAAGTATTAAAGGCGTGTGTTTAGTGCGGTCAAGTGTCAACGTTTATCAACTTTTCGGACTATATGGGCTTTTAAAGTTCGATATGGGCTTTTAACAGTAGCCCACTTGACTTTATTGGATAAGCAGGGTTTAGTACGACTGTCGTTGATTTTTTAGTGTTTTGCTTAAGTTGGAACTTAAAAAACTTGGAATTAACATTCAAGATCAAACCAAAAATGGAGAGATCCGTTTCCTTTAATCCTCGATGCGATAACGAGCTCCCGAATGATCGGAGCAGCGATGTCGGATACACTGCTAATGACCGGAGGCTTGCTTACTCCCGCTCCTTTCAGCAATCACACGGTCCACGAACTCCGGCGTTCACTGAGGCGGCTAAGCCTTTTCTCGATAGGACAGTCTCTAGCATCGACATGCCGCCGGAGATTTACTCCGTCGACGGAAATGATTTGGTTTTCGGGGAAGGGCAAGAATTAGATATGGGAAAAGGGTCTGTTTTGGATTTGGTTTGGGAGATTTTTGGAGTAGTGAGAAGTGGGAATAGGCAGATGAGGAGGCTGTTTCTGCTGATTGCGCTTAATGTGTTGTATTCCACTACTGAGCTCTCTATTGGTCTCTTCACTGGGCGTGTAGGTAAGCTATGGTTTCAGTTCTCTTTTGTTTTAGGATTCTGAATCACTGAAACATGTTGTCATTGCTCGACTCCTTGATATTCTTGTTGAGGGAGAGACTTGGGATGTGTTCAAATAGAAATTTAAAAGTTATAGCCGCAAAATTTTAGGCTCAGGAATTAAGTTGATAAAGTCTACACTATGGAACTAAATCTCAGGGATAGTAGAGTCTGTGCGTGTTTTGAGGCCCTGATTATGGAGCTTTTAAAATCTGTTTTCTGGTGCAATTGAGTCACACTAGAACGGGTCTCACAAGCGTCAACCAATCTTCTGTGTCTGTTGTCGCAGTTTGTTAAATTACTTTTTGCTCAGTGCAGTAATTGGTACTTGTCAGAATTGGTTTGGTTACTTTCCTGGTCCGTGGTCATTTTTCTGTATTTACTAACTGTGCTGCTTTTTTTTTTTTAATGGACTCTTACAGGTTTGGTCTCCGATGCATTCCATCTGACATTTGGTTGTGGGCTCTTGACATTTTCATTATTTGCAATGGCAACTTCAAGGAAGAAGCCTGATCATGCTTACTCATACGGGTGAGAAAAGAATATATCGATGGGCTCAGTTTGTGAATCAAATTTCTTGTTATATAGGTCAAAATGAATGTTTTGTGGTAGTCAGCATTTGACCGCTTAATTTTTCAAGTCCTCTATTCTTTTCTTTTTCTCGAACTAAACCAGTTATAGGTGGGTTACTAAGGTTTTGTTAGTCAGATAGTACATCTTTTGTATTTTTGTAGGAGTCACTGAATCAGGTTTGTCTGATTGCCAAAAATGAGAACTTGTCTGTATGATCTCTTTTGCTGCTGAGACTGTAATGGCACAATGCTGAATTGTTATAATTTAGGCATCCTTTTTTTTTCTTTTCCCAGGTACAAACGACTTGAAGTTTTATCTGCTTTCACTAATGCTGTAAGTATGTTCTTAACGTGTTTTAGATGTCTTTTCCAGCGTTAGGTGAGGCGTAAAACGATTTTAATGTAATGAAATAGGTGTTAAGAGCTTAACTCAGTGTTCGCAGTCTCTTCTTTATTGTTGCTTATAGGATAGAGTCATCTTACAGGTCGTTGTTGAAATTATGTGGACTTCTATACATTATGAAGACCTTTCCTTTTGTTTTCCTTCATTATCTCCTTCTCTTTAGCTTGTCTTTTTGGTTAACACTTTGATATGTTTAATATTTGACATATGTGTAGACAGCTGTTCCTTATGTTCATGTCATTCTCCTTAGCTGTGGAAGCTCTTCATGCTTTTATACAAGATGAATCAGAGCACAAGTAAGTCGCCTTTTCACAAATGAAATGCTTAGGAGTTTCTAGATATCTATCTGGCACTTGCTAATTTACAACTACTGTTCCCTCTTGTTCCTTAGTTTAGTGTGATTTATTGATATCTTCTTTATGTAGGCATTATTTGATTGTATCAGCGGTAACAAATCTGCTGGTGAACCTACTAGGTGTTTGGTTCTTCCGGAGTTATGCTCGTGTAAATATTGGTATGTATTCTCTGTTATACACAAATGCTTAAGTTCTAGTTAGACTTATAAGATCTGATGTTCATAATTCATATGTTGCTTTATATGATACAAGCCTTTTTTGGTAGCTTTGGTATATATTTTTTCATTTGTAGAAATTGGCCATCCCTGACAGTTTTAGCTTAAAGCCAAAGAAGTAAGGGTGTTTGGATGAAATAGAATCAGTACGAGGATTTGTTTAAATAGGGAAACAACATGATCAACTTATCTGGCAGGACAATTCATTACTTCTTGAAATGATATGTCCCTTCTTTACATAAATAAACCCCATTTTTCTTGAGTTTCTTTCTTACATTCATAATATGTTGCAGTCTACAGAAAAGCAGAAGATATGAATTACCACTCGGTTTGCTTGCACGTCATATCAGATTCTATCCGCAGGTGTTAAATCTCTCTGTCTTTCTTTATCTCAATCAGAGCAGCAGAGAGCTAGATTGAAACGAAAAAAAAAAATCTTTTTGTGTGGAACTTACATACAGCAAACATGAAGTTCTTTTTGCTGTTGTCTTTTCAGTGCAGGTTTGATACTGGCATCTTGGCTCCTCTCTCTCGGGTAATTCTCACTTTCTTTGGCCTAACTGAATAAAAGTGTTGTGATGCTTGACATCTTACATTTTCCTTTGGCTCCTTGTATCTTGGATATTTCAGGGTTGAAAATGCAGAGGTCCTATGTTTAGGATTGGTATCAGTTACAGTGTTTATGCTTGTTATGCCACTCTTCAAAGCGACTGGCGGTATCTTGCTTCAGATGGCACCCCCAAACATTCCTGCTTCTGCATTAAGCAAATGCTTGCGACAGGTTTGTTCTTTTCTATATATAATTACCTGAATGTGAAAATATTTGCCATAACTTATCAAGCCGGGGTCTCTTCAACTCTCTTTTTGTACAGATTACTTCTCGAGAAGATGTCACAGAGGTTTTAGAGGCACGTTTCTGGGAGGTTGTACCTGGTCACACTGTCGGCTCACTCAGACTCCAGGTAATCGCTTCTTCCTTGTCATCATATCAGTTAAAACATGAGATCACAGTAGGAGTGGAAATGAATGGGTTTGTTGTTTCGGCACCGGCTATAGGTGAAGAGTGGAATAGATGAAAGGCCATTACTGCAATATGTGTATGATGTATACCATGATTTGGGTGTACAAGACTTGACCTTGCAAACTGATGACACCTAAGCTGCATCTGCCTCTTCTTTGTTTTTGAATACTGATCTGAGGAGATTGGATGTATACTAGAGATAATGTTTCTATACGGAAATATATCTTGGTTTCAAGTTGTGACTTTGTTGTTGCAATCACATTTTGAATGTATGTTTCCATTTGTGTCGTTTGAACCACACATGGACCACAGTATTTGTATCTTTCAAGTTTGTGGATATTTTGGCTAATTGCAAATGCAATGATTTTTTTATAAACAAATGGCATTTGCAAAATGTGAAAGTAAAACGCAGAAGATACATAAACTATGAGCTGAGACAAGATTTTAGAATTCCTTCTTGTTTATACAAAGAAAAGGGGGAAGTGGGAGGGAATCTATAAGATCACATTATATGCCTATGTCTAAAAAAATACCTAATATTCCAAGAAATGGGCCTTGTAAAAGCATCTTTACAAAGATAAATTCATCGATTACGAAATCATCGCCCGTCCATGTCTACATATTATTCTTTGCTTACTCCTATTTTTCTTCCTTGAACAACATATATCTCACATTTATTTTATTCCACTTGTGATCCATCTCATCCAATTACATAAAACCATCACTGCAGTTCTTTTTGACTGTGTATTAGCTAGAAAATTTTATATATATTGTTAGAGCATGTCCAATGCTAAATTTGTTAACAAGTTTTTTAGCATTATTGTAATAAAAAGAAAGTACAAGTTTTAAAATTAACAAATTTTTGAAGATGAAAGAAATATTGCTTCCAATGGTAAAGTTCTAAATTTAAAGTTTTTAAGATTATTATTATTTTCTTTTACTAAATCCAAACCACTCAAATACCAACACCTAACACTAAAAATCAATCTATAAATATCTTAACTAAGATACAGTATTTAGCTTAATTATCATTATTGATTTATTTTTTTGCCTTTTATTACTAAAAAATAAGTTAACAACCTTGCATTGGACATGGTCTTATGGTGTAATTTTTAAAGTCCATACATATTATAATGAAGGCACTACTTGATTTCTCTTGGTTGTGGTCTGCACTGTACCAACTCGAACGACAAAAACGTATAAAATAAGAATAATAAACCAGAAACAATTGTCCAAAAGGACACTTTTATTTGAAAAAATTATACGTTTTTAATGTTATTGTTTAATTGATTTTCAAATCAAGAGAGGACCAAAGTGTATGAGCATGAATCATCAAACCATTAACTCTAAACCTTTTCCCTTAAAAAAATTCCCAATTGATAAGAGAGAATCAAAAGCCACATAAAAAAGTAAGAGTTAACCAATATAATAACTCAAAAAAAGAAGAAGATTGTAAGATAAAGCTGATGAAACTCACATTGCAAGAAGAGACTCTGCTTACAAAAGATATAGAGACTCTTAAGGCAGTACTGTTAAGTCTCTGATCTCTCTTCTTGATATAACATGTACAGATTCAGCAACACAGTGATTGGGGTCTTGAACCTCCTCACCTTACTAGCCTCGATCCCGATCATAGGAACAGCGTTGTACAAGGCAAGAAGCAGTACGACTTGCGAGAACTTCCTCCAGACACCGCTACTCGTTATAGGATTCATCATACTCTTAGTATCCCTTGCTGGTTTCATAGGAGCCTGTTTCCACGTGGCATGGGCTCTTTGGGTGTACTTAGTGGTCATGATCTTCCTCATCGCGGCGCTAATGGGTCTGACGTTGTTTGGCCTGGTGGTGACGAGCCAAGGAGGTGGAGTGGAAGTTCCAGGGAGGGTTTATAGAGAGTATAGGCTTGGAGACTATCATCCATGGCTGAGAGAGAGAGTTCGAGATCCTGAGTATTGGAACTCCATAAGAAGCTGTATCTTGAGTTCCAAGACTTGTGCTAAGATTGAATCTTGGACTACTCTTGATTATTACCAAAGAGATATGACTTCTGTTCAGGTACACCATATCCACTTTAACAATCTAATATATTTGTTATCATGTTACAGTAAGACTTTTTGGTTGTCCGTTGAACTAAAATAGAGTTATTAACGTATCAAAGCCGTGACTAATAAAAAAAAAACAATACAGTCGGGATGTTGTAAGCCACCGACGGCGTGCACGTACGAAGCTGGAGTGATTGATGGAGGAGGAGATTGCTACAGATGGAACAATGGAGTGGAGATGTTATGCTACGAGTGCGATGCTTGCAAGGCTGGTGTTCTTGAGGAGATCCGTCGCGACTGGAGAAAGTTGTCGGTTGTTAACATTCTCGTCCTTGTCCTACTCATCGCTGTCTACGCCGCTGGTTGCTGCGCCTTCCACAACACTCGCCACGCGGCTCATCCTTACCATCCCTCAGATGATAACCGCATGACCAAAGTCCGTCCTCGTTGGGACTATTACTGGTAATAAACCTTTTCTCTCTTTCTCTTACCAAACTAGTCAGATGAAAAGATCTATTACAAAAGTATATTAGAGATTTTCATCAGTTGATCTGAATTGAGATCTTCGAATTTTTTGACCAAAGCGTTTTCCTGTTTATTTGTTTTGTTTGTCAGGTGGAGATGGTGGCACGAAAAGAAAGAGCAGCTTTACTGAGTCTTTTTTTTTATATTTTAATTTCAATTTGTTTCTTAAAGATTTTCTTTTTGGCAAACTGAGCTTAAGAAAACACAAAGATCAAAAATGTTGATGTAGTAGTTCTGTTTCTATATGTATCATCAAGAAATTGGTAAGATTTGATTCGAGTGCATGAGTATATAAATGACTATATTTTTGGTCGTATCACTTGTGAAATACTCTATAAAAATAAAAATAAAATCAATTATTATTTACTATTCCTGCAAAATCTTAGTTTTTCTTATTCCTGCAATTTCACTTGAAAGAAACAGATTAGATTGCAGTGGAGACTATGACCGAATATATTTCGATAGTAATTATATTTCAATACAACAAAAAGTTACATATTCCGTTATTATGTTCTTTTGGTTGCAAGATTTCTGTGACGAGTAAGACCTGCCACTCTCATTGTTCCTCCACCTGCAGAATTTTCCAAAGTTTTTACATATATTGTCATTATTTTCAAAACGAATTGCAGCTTCATGCTTAAAAACTCGTACCTCCATTTTTGTCAGATCTCTTACGGCTGCGCCAAAGAAGCCTAATTGGAGTCCCAGCAAAGCCTGCATCAGTGCGTAGCTGTTTCTCCATATATCTTCTGTATGTGTCCGAAAACAGCTTTGCGTCGTTTACAAAGAATACAAACGTCGGTGGCCTTATTGCTGCCTGCATTATGCAACCTTTGTTATATACATACACAAACAAACAAACCCGGAAAAGCCTCTATATCATTTTCCTTTACTGCTAATAGACAACATTGGAAGATGTTTTTATTACCTGTGTGCAATAGTAAACGCGGCCTCGCTTGCCTCCACGGGTTCTTGGAGGGGATTTAAATGCAACTGCTTCTCTTATCACTTGGTTCAGTGTGGCCGTACTAAGTCTTCTTGATCTCTCCTTTTGGACCGTCGCAGCAGCAACCACAATACTATATTTTAATCATAAAATATCCAACATATTAAGTAAAACCCGGGAATAAGATTCAAAATAGTTTCTGAATTATTTGAAGGAGGCCTACTTGTCAACACTATGGCCAGTTATTGCGGTTGAATAAACAATGGGTGCCCATTTGAGGGAACGGAGCTTCTGCCGGACATCTTCCTCGTAATGTGCTGCAGTCTCTTGGTTTTTGTTCGGTATTGTATCCCATTTGTTTACAACAACCAGACATCCTTTTCCTTCTCTTTCTATTCTTTCTGCAATCTTCAGATCCTGTGTTTACAATAACATAATCATTACTCTAAACACAGGGAAATAATTCTACTCTATGGTTCAACTCTGTCTGTACCAAAACCGCATGCTATACAATTACCAATGAGAAACTTCATCAGTGTCAGTGCTAGTGAAATACCTGCTCTGTTATGCATGCCATGGCTTCAATGACAAGGGCAACAACATCCGAACGACGAATAGCTCGAAATGCACGATTCACTGACATGGCCTCTGTAGTGCTGCCTGATGAAGCCACAGATGACTTTTTCCTGATCCCAGCTGTATCAATAAGCCGAAACTTCTGCAACACAGATCATAATCATATTCAGCGAATGCATCTTTGGTCTTATCATTCTCTATTTTCACTGCTCATAATCAAAGTTCAACAGCTATAAACTTTGACAATGCTAGTCCTTGATAATAGCCTAACCAAATAAACTTAAATACTAGGAGTTAACATGAAAAGCGCATAACATAGATGCTACATAGCCTATAATAAAAAGGCAGGCACTTCAACGCAAACTTCAAACATCAAAGAAGCCTTTTGTTGGAATTTTCACGAAAGAAAACTAACTAAGCCACATCAGATGAAATAGAACCAACCTCCCCATCTGGTCCGGTAAATTCTGCATCTATAGCATCACGGGTAGTGCCACTAACAGGGCTAACAATTGTTCTATCCTCTCGGACAAGTGCATTTAAAATGCTACTTTTTCCAACATTTGGCCGACCAATAATTGCAATGGCAGGAATGTAGTTTTCTTCTTCTTCCTCTTCAATATTCTCCATGATCTAGAAAAATCATTGAATCATATGGGTGAAACAGATCTTAGAAAAGGTCTTGACCTTTGGTTTGTAAAGTGATGCCAAAACATTCTTGTCAAGGCTACGCTAATTATATGAAGGAGATGTACTTGTCAACGCTATGGCCAGTTATTACAGTTAAATAAACAATGGGTGCTAACTGAAAATATTCAACAATGCATAAAGGTCTTTGATGAATAAGAGATGAAATTTCAGGGTCTATATAATGTAGATTAAGCCAAACCTTAAAAAGATTTCAGAAAGAGTATACTGTAATACAGAATATGTCCAATAAAATCTAGAGATAACATAATCAACTATTTGCCAATATTTCATGTTCCTGCACAAACGTTTTTCTGAAAGAAAGAAAGGCCATTACAAACCTCGAGTTTATTTAGCCCAGAACAAACAAGATCAAGCAGCTCTCCTGTTCCAGTTCCCGACAATGCAGAAATAGGGATAGGTGTGAACCTAGAAATCCCACCACGAAATCAATGCCACATAATTTTTAAATGAAAACACAAAAAAAAAAATGGATAGAAGCAAAGTAACTAAAATGTTTAGCATTGCATGCACAATATTTTATCTCCGGCTAAACCACAGCTACCAACCATTTCCAGCAAAATCTCATAAATTTGTTGGATAAACCACTCACAGGAACTTAAAATAAAGATGAAACATAAAAATAGACACCATCATAGGAGAAACTCTTTCTCATCCTTACAAGTTTCGAAGGTTCATAAACTCATCAAACAACAATAATAAATTCATTAAGTAGGACAACATTTTGTTGAATATAAAAACTGACAATTAAGAGAGTAACAAGTATTCAAATCATCTAATGAAAGTACCAAATGGCGTTTGTCCACGAATTCTATTTTTGTTGACAGTTATCTTCAAATGAGAATCACTCCTATTTTCAGGACGTTTTAGACCTTAAACCTAAACCACATCCCCCCCCCCCCCCCCCAAAAAAAAAAAAAAGCCAAGTTTGTGCGCAAACATGATTCTGAAGTAGAATGAAAGTCAATTTACCCTAGAGTCCAAAATTCAGAAGCCTGCATGAGTCCTTTACGTGGTGATTCACATTTGTTCACCGCGAGAATGATATACTTATGTGAGTAGTACTTCCGCAACCAGTCTGCAATTTCCACATCAGCACCTGATGGTCCTGCCTGCGTATCAAGCACCAGAATCATTGCCATATATCAATAACATGGCATATAACTAGGAAACACTCTGTAGGGCATAACAGTTTATAAAAATTCACAAAATCAACTTGATATATCCTCCATATAAGTCACAGATTTCTTGATATATTTGGTGATATCTTCCACGAAACATGAAATTCTATATAATGTTCTGTCTATAAATTTCTTTTTGGTTGCTGGACTTTGTTTTCTGGCAGGAAAAGAAAAGCCTAACAGGGAGAAAAGCAAAGACAGGAAAGTTAAGGAGATAGAACATAAGCACAGAACCTGGCCATCAACAACAAAAATAATAACAGCTGATTCATCCACAGCTGCTGTAGCTTGTTTCTCGATCATGGAAGGCATCCTTGCAATAGCTGCTTCCCTAGAGCTTAGTGGAATACCTTCCATGCCAATGGTGGTTGACACATTCAGCTCTTCCATGACACCAGATGGTGACTTTGAAACGGTCATAACACCTCCTGTGTCTACCACCACAAATTCTTGATCACCCCAATATGATCTACCATACAATCGATCCCTAGTAACTCCAGGTTCATCCACTACAATAGCTCTATTCTCCTGAAATGCATTGTAAAGACAACTTCACATGAATACTAAGGGGGAAAAAAATCAAACTGGAAATTTAAATGTCAGCAAAACTTACCCCAACAAGGCGGTTGAACAATGCAGATTTTCCAACATTAGGCCTTCCAACAATGGCAACTCTTTGAAGAAGATGCTCTGGTATCTGCGTCTGGTATTGTATTTGATAGTAGTGTCAGTAACCAAAAATTCCTTGATCATTCAAGACATGAAAGTTTAAATGAAGCAACAAATATAAAAAAAGGAGCTTGACTAACAGTTTTGGCTTGCCTTTTCCCCTTTCTACGAGTTGCCTTGCCCTCAATGAGCTCATCCTCTGGAAACATCAAACTATGGTCATCATTCACAGTCATTGGGAGGCATCAAGCAGTTTGTTTTTAAAATAAAAATAAATTATCGTTAGACCAATACACACAATATGCAGAAAAAAAGAAAGAATTACCGAGTTTAAGTTCACGAGACAAAGTAGTAGCGTAATCTCTAACGATATCTCTGGCTTCTTTTTCAAGAACGGAGATATCAATGGAGTCGTCTTCGATGTCAGAATCATCTGCGTAGTTGTCTTCGGCAGATTCTTCGAATTCCTCGAAATCTAGCTCTTCCTCCTCAGCAGAGGAAGCATCCAGAGTTGCAGCAACAGGGAAAGGGAAGCGGGAATGCGAGTGTTGGTGAGAGTAAGTGAGAAGGGAGGGAGTTAAAAAGGATGAGATATTCGAAGAAGAAGCAAATGAAGATGAAGGAGAAGAAATCCTAGAAATTGAAGGGATGGTGAAGAAGCCTCTTGTTGTCAATGAGTCAAGTAGTCTCGCCATCTTTTTTTTGGCAGAGCAAAGTGAAAGAAGAAGAAGAAGAAATTGCCAGAGGTTTATCTCACTTATCTTTCTGGGTTTTGATGAATCCGGAACCGGTTCAACTAACGAAACCGGAAACTCGATCTTTTCTCGTCAAAACCGGACTGGATAACGAAGAAATTGAATCGGTTCAATTAGAATATCCGGATTGAGTTCGGTTTAGTTTGGGTTATATATTACGCACCAAATCGGACTGTCTTCTTCATCGGTATCGGAAAGAGACAGACATTGAGCTTCTCTTCTCTTAGGTTAGTTCGTTTCTCCGATTTTCCCGCTTGTTTTATACCCTCATTGATTATGTTCCTTTAGTGCTGCTGTCTATGTTCAATACATTCTAGTCTGCTCTTTGTTCATATATATATCCTCATACTCCTTGTTTATTTCACTAAAACTACAGCTCAAGTTTTTTCCCTTTTCCACTCTTCTTTTTTCGGTTTTTATATCAACTTGCTAGAATAAAGACAGTTTGGAGTCTGCGGTGACGGATCATCTGAGGATGAATGGTGCATACTGGGGACTAACCACACTGGACTTACTCGAGAAACTCGGTTCTGTTGACCAAGATGAAGTGGTGTCATGGGTCATGACGTGCCAGCATGAGTCTGGTGTGTGTAATTGAGTACACTATTTGTCAACCATATGCATTTTCAGATCAAATAATACCATCCGTTATCGTAAGATGTTGCTGCATTTTGTGAATTGTGGCTTTGCCGGTAATACTGGACACGATCCTCATGTGTTATATACACTAAGTGCTGTACAAATCTTGGCCCTCTTTGACAAACTACACATTCTTGATGTCGGAAAAGTGTCAAGTTGTATCCTTTTAGCATTTAACTTCTCGTCAATGTGAAAAGAAATTAACTCGGTTAATCGCTTATGGTAGATACAATTATGTTTTTCTAAATTCCAAAAAACCAGATGTTGCAGAGTTGCAGAATGAAGATGGATCCTTCTCAGGAGATATGTGGGGAGAAGTAGATACTAGGTATTCTTTCTTCCTAGCTATTTATTTGTTCCAAGTTGTGAATGCCACTGTGTTATCTGGAAGCTTGTTTTATGTAGGTTTTCGTACATAGCCATATGCTGTCTCTCGATATTGAAATGTCTTGATAAGATCAATGTGTAGAAGGCTGTTGATTACATTGTGAGCTGCAAAAACCAGGATGGTGGTTTTGGGTGCACACCAGGAGCGGAGTCTCATGCTGGACAGAGTATGTTCAAGATGCTATATGAGTACTTTCTGTGGGATGATCGTTCAAAATGTGTCTAGATGGCTTTACTGACTTTCATTGTAGCTCATATGGTAATTAAACGAAAGAAATTCTTTCTGTTGCTGCAGTTTTCTGTTGCGTGGGTGCTCTTGCTATCACCGGGAATCTCCATCATGTTGATAAGGGCTTACTTGGATGGTGGTTATGTGAAAGACAAGACGACAAGTCTGGAGGTTTAAATGGACGACCTAAGAAAGACCCTGATGTAAGTTATTCCTCCTAATCGAAACATGATTTTGATTGTTCTTAGCATGCTTTTGATTGTTCTTATCATCAGGTTTGCTATTCGTGGTGGGTCTTATCCAGCTTAATCATGATCGATAGAGTTCACTGGATCAAGAAAGGAAAGCTTGTCAAGTTCATCTTGGACTGTCAGGTTTGTCTCCAATATTATTAAAGCTCTCATCTTGTAGAGCCTTTCCTGAGTTTCAAGTATACTTTCATAGGACATAGATAACGGAGGCATCTCAGATGGACCCAACAATGCTGTTGATATCTTCCACACCACTTTGGAGTTGCAGGTAACTAAAAAGTCTCTTTCTTTTGGCTTATCTTGTTGATGTAAAGCAAAAGAGTGTCAGTTTAGTGTAAATTGTGTAGGGCTCTCTCTTCTCGAGTATCCTGGAGTCAAACCAATTGATCCTGCCTACGCTTTACCTGTCCATATTATCAACCGGATTCTCTTCTCCAAATGATTCTTCATTAGAATTCAGATGTCGGGTAGTAGGCATTAGAAATAGATAAATTTTGGTTTGGTTTCCTGCTCTGATATTCTGGTTCAGTTCGGGTTAGACATATGCCGCATATCTTTACTATTACTTGTAATCACAAACCCATTTACAATCTCAAACCAAGATCATGAACGTGGCACTATTCTCATCTACACTAGTGTTTCCATTAAAGCTCTGAATCCATCTAAAATGATGCGGATTCAACTCCAATGGTTGTTCTATGGTTTCCGCCGTCTTTTGCCGCCAAGCTGGTTAAGTTTTACGAGCAACTCGGCATAGAGAATTTCGTTCCAAGAATCAGGCACCCCAGGGAGGCACCAGTGGCTACAGTCTTGGTACAATAATGGTGATTTACTTTCTTCCGCAGATAGTTTCTGTTTCCGGTATATCGACGGGTGAGCGTCCTTCCTGTAATCCGTTAACCTTGTAATGTTGAGATATGTGACAGGCGCTTTCATTCCCCGTAGAACTCTTTCAAGTATCTGCATCTTCAGCATGTAAGGAGTTAGGTAAGTCTCGTTCTTTATCGGTTCTGTTTCATCATCGCATGCCCCTCCCGCATTCCATTGCCCTCCGCTGCATTTACATCATAACGATTTTACAAACCAGTTTTTGTGTCTAGTAAAACCACCACACAGATCTTGAGTTTACCTGAAATGTGATGGGGAATAACCACGGAAGAAAACAAGTGATTTCTTTGGATTTACATTCTTATCAACCCATCGACCCCAAGTTGTCAATGCTTTTCGGAAAGCTTCATCCACGTCTAGTTTCGGGTAAAGATTTCTCCCTTCTTGATAATAATCCTCCCTAATGAAAGCATCCAAAAACCAAAAAAACATTGAGACAACAACAACCCCAAATCAGGGATCAAACTAGTTGAAAAGAAATCTAATACCCTTTGGAAGTTTTCTCATGAGTCCACCAATGACCGGTATTGAATACAAGAATATCTGCTCCTCTGTACTGCTCCGATGACTTGCCGACCAAATCTAACCGTAATGTCTCCTTCTTTGTCCCGTTCTTGTCCATAACTTCCCATTCTCGAACCAAGAAAGGCGATGCATAGAACTCCACAGTACAATTATAATCCTACCAACCGTAAAATCATTCAATCATAACTCGAAACACACACAAGGATTAGTAATGAAACCGATATGGAATGCTAAAAGAGAAACCTACTTTAAAAACAAAAGAGTACTCAGCTTCCCAACGGAACTGATGCCTTCCATGAGCCTCAAAGATTTGACTCTCATCTTTGACTGATCCTTTAAGAATGCAAACCAAAGACTCCCACATGTTTCTATTAAGCGAATCTCCAACAAACACAAGCCTTCTTCCTCTAATCATCTCCAGAAGTTTCCCTCCATTTAATCTTGTACGTACATATATACACATGGATCATCAATCATTTGGATTATTTGACTCCACCATAGACGACAAAAGAAAAAAGAAGTAACCAAGTGGTTGTTGACTTACCTTGGTAAAGTGCATTTCTTCGGTTTCCACTTCAACTTCTGGAATTCCACGTCAGGTCTTCCGTTGGAGATACAATTAAACTGTTCATCGATCAGATTACACGAACCGGGTTTGTAAAGCGGATACGAATCGTCTCTGACCCAATCTCCCTCGAAGAACTCGCAATTCTTCAGAGACTCGATCTCTTTTCTCAGGGAAGACTTCCTCCTCTGTTTTCGATTCGGAGAAGCAGTGGAATTGACGGCTAGAACCTCCGACAGAGGTTCTTTCCTCGCTCGATGTTTGTTCAAATCTCGAGCAGTATTATCGTCAGGACACGACATGTTTGCATGATCGGTCTGGAAGTGAAAAGTGTTGTTTTCAGCAATCGGGGATGTTGTCACATTTGCGATGGGGAACTCAAAGGTTACGTTTTTAGTAACCGCTGCGAGATTTTCCGGCGCTGGTGCTCGCAATGTGGTGAAATCGGAATCGAAGGTCGGTGACGAAGAGTTGGATGAATTAGAGACAGTGACAGTATGGAGAATATAGGAAGAAACGGAAGGAGTGACTGTGATGGGAGAAGGACTAAAGGCTAAGAAAACAGTGAAGACAAGGAATGTAATGACGAAGGCATAGACAAACGTTGAGGTTTTTCTTGGTTTCACGGCGGAGAAAAAGCTTTTGATTTCGAATGTGACGGAGGAGAAGGCGGAGACGCCGTGAAAAGGTATATGCTTCACGGAGTCCGACGCCATGGCGAGGGGTTGGAGCGTGGGAATCTTTTCACTGACTCTTCACTCTTGTTGTTGTTTTTTTTTTGAGTTGAGCGAGTGAGAGAGACAGAGAGAGACAGAGAGAGTAGTGAGATTAAAAGAAAAATGAGAGAGTGAGAAAGAAGAAAAGAGTCTTGTAGTTGTCTGCTGCGTCAACAAATCTCTTTCTTTTCTTTTTTTTTTGTCTAGAAACTTGAGAGATGTGTGTCTGTTCGGCAAAGTGACATTTGCTTCGGAATCGCCGCTAAGTTGAATAGTTTTGTATTCCCCCTCGTTTTTGGAGATGAACTACGAGAATGCCACTGTAATTTGGAATGTTAAAAGATTTTTCAAACGGGTTCTGATAATCAGATGAAAACAAAAAGAGGAAACAAATTAATTCGGATTTTGTTGTAATAGCATTCTCGTAATTCGGCAGTTATGTAATGTTGGCCGAGGAAACAATAAAACGATTAGAAATCAGAGAAAATACATATTGTACATATGTTTTGGTTTCATTCTCTTTTTTTTTCTTCTTTTTCCTTGAATATTTGAAAGATCAAATAACGATTTTTATTTTTGTTTGATATAGACAACCACATAGATTAATTCAGTTTGTATCATATCAACTACGTGGGAACATTTATGTTCTACAAATTTCATTGATCTTCCAAATTTTGAATATTGGATCTGATGTAACTAAATTAGCTTTTTAGTCAACCATAATTAAAACTAATCTTTAATACTTGAAATCAGTCGTTTTGCTTAATCGATCTCGCTACCAAAATGCCAGTTTCAATGTATGTTACATTTTTTGTTTCCTCTTTTCTCCGTTGATGTTATATATTTTTTTAGTTACATTCTTTTGTCGGGTAGGTAGAATTCAACTGCTTAGTGAATACTATTAAAATGAGATCTTGTACCTTATCTATTGCCATTTTCATAAATTTTTGGTCTGTTTTCTATTTTTTCTTGAAACTTTTTTTATACACACGCTCCTACAACTAATAGAGATTCCAGTAACGTATGGGAGACAGAAAAATTCACGGCACTGACGAAACCTGAAGATACATAGAGATAACGAACCCAATACGCCACATAGGTAAAGTTAACATAAGGCATATTAGGCTGACCAAGTCATTTAAGAGTCTCTCATATTCAGGCTATTGTCTATATACGTACGTTGATTTTGATAAGGCGTTGCTGCATGCGCAATAATTAACAAGTCCCTCCATTTAACAACTTTACTGAAAAAACTGAAAGTGGAATGATCTTGATTTCTTTGCAGAAGAGATACTTTGATCACCAACACATGGCAGTTCCCACAAGCTATCCCTTGACGATGTGTCCATTAACTGTGAGCAACAGCAAACAGCAAACAGCAAAAGCATATACCTACCTACGGTGGTGCAACATATTTTACTACCTCAATACAAGAGTATCCAGTTAACATTCTTCAAGTGAACAATTTTATTTATATTTGTGCTATCTAAACCAAAATAATCTTAACATCACCTTACGACCAATGATATTAAGAGGGAGACTATATCAGTCAACGAAAATGCATTAACTAAAAAGTGAAAACCTTAAAAAGTCATACATTTTTGCATTGTTTTGGTGCCTCTTGTTTGAATTGAAATCATATTCTAGCTTGTAGATAAAAAAGCCAACGCTGATTTTTGTTTATTTCATAATCAAAAATCACTAATCATATCCCAAATCCAAATACTCCACGGATCCTATGGAATATTAGATCTCTCCATCCTCTCTCTGTGTTTTCCACCACAGTCGCATTCCCATACCTGCGTCAGTCAATCAAATAAACATACAACGTAAGTAACATCACTTTAGTCACATTCAACATAAGCAAGTTAACCCAACTTGTTAAGATATTTGCTTCACATAAGAAATAATCAAACAGAAGAATATGGGCAACCATAGACATTTCAAATGTGCTCCGGACACTTATAAATAAACTAACCAGTGTTCGTTCATAAAGAACAAACAATAGTCCTATCAGAACCTTAAGAGTAAGTGACAAGGATTAGCATATATAGTAAAACTGAACAGACTTGTGGGGTGGGTCATTTGGAAATTTTGAGATTCTCTCTATTATCCCATTGTCCTATAGAAGTGTTTATATCATATCCCAACCAATTTAGCACACCGAATTCAAAAAGAACTCATTCCCTCATATACACAAATCACTTATCACTTCATTCCACTTTGAGACTGAAAAACCTCTTACGGAGTCACAAGTTCCTTTCTGGGGTTTCCAAATTCCCAAGCTCTATTTAATCAAAGGCAAGTCACTAGAGGGAAGACTAGAAGAGTTCATCAGCTACCAGGGATTCACAACAGTGCCGGCCACCCGTATAATTTAGTTGAGCTTAAATAGTCCCTAGTTATTAGCTTTGTACACTACATCGGTAGGAAAATTCTATCTAAAACCAAGCCATAAAGCAGTCCAAATTCCAGAAGAACTCATTGCATTCTACCAAGCACAAAACATGTCACTAGCATGTCAAGAGTTATAACTTTAAAGCTCCATTAGTTTTTATCCTATTTCCAAAGTTCAGACTCAGAACTAAGAGCTACTCCTTATAATATACATGCTATAAGTAAAACTAACCTATCTTCTTCAGGAACGTCAGTGTGAGTGAGATCGACAACGGTGACTCCTGGTTCAGGCTCCTTGAAAACGATCTTCACCTGAAATGTCAAAAAGCAAAAGCCAATACCAACCACAATCAAATCTAAAATGAGGGTAATACGTTTGGCCATTCAAAAAGATAAACAATCAGTAAACTAACCGTTGAATCAAGACCATCAGGCCAGCTCCCAAATCTCCACTTCTGAACAATCAATTTGCCTTCTTCTAGCTCAAGATTCATTCCAGTGACAGACCCATCAAAGACACTAATCTCACCATTCACATCTTTACTAATCTTAGCATTGCTCTGCGTAAAACCTTTCCAACGATTCTCATCCATTAAGATCTCATACAAATCCTTAGCTCTGCAATTAAACTTCTCAGTCATAGTAATTGTCTTAAACCCTTCCTTAGTCTTCACCTTCTTCTTCTCCTTCACTACCTTACTCTCCGCCGCTTTGGGCGCAGCAGATACAGCCGGGACAGCACCAGACTTTTCCACCGCCGCTGTAGCAGATCCAGCAGCTACAGGTTTCGGCGCAACCTTCTTCGTCTCCAACTCATCCCTACACGGACCCCCTTTCGCCATAGCCTCTACATAAACCCTAACTTTCTCCTGAATAATCGATTTCCCCTTCTTCACCATAGCCTCCTTCAAAGTCTTGCCAATCGGTCCCTCATCCTTGACTGAAAACCTAATCTCAGGATCTTCATCAGCATTCTCATCGGAGATATAAGGCATATCCACTAATCCATCAGTTTTCAAGAGCGTCTTGCCATCGGAATCTTTGGCCTCACCTTCCCAAGACAAAGAGACATTAAGCTCGTATCCAGGGATGATCTTCCCCTTGCGTACATTCACATAAGCCTCGCCTTCGACCTTCTCGATCTTATTGACCTTGATGAATAGATTACCTTCGCCGGCGAGGAAAACAACACCGGAGAACTGTTTGTTGAAGAAGTTACGAGACCATTCGAGGCAATTAGTTTCGGACCAGTGCCAGTTATGGACGTTGGTGCCGTCGGGTCTGTCTTCTACGATCCATCGCTTGTCACCTTCGCCGAACTTAGCCATGGTAGGATTAGGGAATCAGCTAAAGCTATAAGGATTTGAGGTTTCAGCTACTGAGAGAGAGAGCGAAGCAGAGAGATTTGGGGATTAGCAGAACTAGGAGAGACCCTAGAGATTAATGAATTAGGCAAACGAAGTCTCTAGAAGAGCTTTTTACTTTTTATCCAATTGAGAAAAAAAAAAAGAACTTTGGAGTTATTTTACAAATTAATTTTGAAACGCGCTTCTATTATAAAAGAAGGGTCTAGAATGTTGAACAAAGGTGATTCTAGGGCTTCCAATTTCCTGGATTTTTTTTTTAAAACACTTCTAAACTTTATTAATTGGAAACAATGACATCATTGTCTAATACATCTGGTGACAAAATGAAAAAAAAAAAAAAAAAAAAAAAGAGAAATTAGAAACAATTCTCCTGGATTTTTCTTTTCCTTTTTTTCTGTTTTAGATTTTGGTTTAAAGAAACAAATACTAAACATGCCATAAGCCACAAGAAAATATGACCTTGTATATAGAGCGCAGATTAGTTCTGTATTGTACTGTACTGCCATAGCCACAACAAAATGTGACAATATAGATACTTACATGTGCTGTAATTGTGTCACTAATTCGTGTCTAATAACGATACATTACTACATACTAGAGACTAAATTGCGGATTGCAACAATCTGATATTGGTGCCAAATGAATAAGCACGAGTCTTGGTGTTTACAAAAAAAGTAACAAAAGATTATATGAGCCTATATGACAAAGTTGGCACCACCGTTGGAAAAGCATTATAAAAGTTTTGTTCGACTGTATAGATCATGTGTTTAGGACATCATAAACATCACCCGCCAAAATAATCAACGAATTAAGGTCAACGTGGCACACTTTTGTAAAAGTCAAAGCCTTTTCCGGTTGCAATGAAAACGCCGACTCGTCGATCGAAGCGGGTTGATGAGGAATCGGAACCCAATGTTGCAACCCCACGAGTAGTCCTACGGACGCGAAAGGCAAAGTGCTCCAAGACTCGAGCCGTTCGGGTCAAACCCGAATACCCACTGGCCCCCTCCACCTCCGAGATGAAGCTGATGCCTCCTGAGTTCTTTCAAATCGACTCCCTTGACCTTGCGCCACGTTTGCTTGGGAAGTTCCTGAGGAGAGACAATGTCGTCCTGCGAATTACTGAGGTCAGTCAGAGACACGATTCTGTTCTCTCTTTTGTTCCTGATATAGGATTTAGGTTTTTTGCTTTAGGATGGTTTCATTCTCTAATTAGATTGTTAGTAAATGGGTATTATGAAGATACGAAGAACTGATTTATTTGCACAATTCCAATAAATTTTGTGAACGACTACAACCATAACTCCTTGTTTACAGATCATTAAAATTCAAAAAGCTAACTTCTGCTTAGCAATGGAAACTAACAGAGTCCTGCAGCTTAACTAAGCTAATGCACAAATTATAATGATATTGGCGCGTCTTGAACTACTTGGATTGTAATTTGCAGCTCCCTAACCTTGTTCCTCCTTTGACAGGTAGAAGCTTATAGACCAAATGATTCAGCTTGCCATGGACGATTTGGGGTTACCCCACGGACTGCACCAGTTGTGAGTTTCTTCTTTTTTGCTTGTTAGCCTTTTGTTACATATTAAATGAAACTTTTCTCTGGAATGTTTTCTACTACGTGTTACTTTTTATTTATATAGTTTGGACCAGGAGGACATGCTTATGTTTATCTATGTTATGGTCTCCATATGATGCTTAATATTGTTGCTGATAAGGAAGGAGTTGGGGCTGCTGTTTTGATACGGTCTTGTTCTCCTGTTACCGGTAGGTCATCTGTTCATATAAAACAGTTTTAGTTCTGATTCTTGAGCACTGAAACTTTGCTATTTTTTGTTTGAGGCTTATAGTAGCATCGTCCACTGGTTTTTGTTTTACTTATCAATTGCTTACTGTTTTTACATCTAAAACTGGTTTTATCAATCTTTTGTTGGCTTAGAAGAGTGATAGTATTGCAGGACTGGAGACCATACAGGAGCGCCGTGGCCTGAAAACTGAAAAACCTGTTCTTCTAAATGGACCAGGAAAGGTTTGTCTGATCTCTACTATTTTAATTTACACCTTTCATTTGCCCTACAAACCAGCGATGCAGAGATTCAATTACTTTGCAATTCAAATGTTCTTCACTAGATAAGAAAAGATATACAACTGAGGGTTATTTAAATCTCGAAATAAACAATCTAACGAGTTTTCCCTGGTAAAAATTCTCGCATAATCAGCTTTTTTTTATATGTGATTCTCACAGGTGGGGCAAGCGCTTGGACTCTCAACAGAATGGTCTCATCATCCACTTTATTCTCCTGGTTAGTCCATAGACCAAATCAGTTAATGAAATAGACTCTCTCTTGAAGAATCTTTATATTTTGTCCTTAAAATGAATGGACACAGGAGGATTGGAGCTTCTGGATGGAGGAGAAGACGTGGAGAAAATAGTGGTTGGTCCTCGCGTTGGGATAGATTACGCATTGCCTCAACATGTTCATGCCTTGTGGAGATTTGCTATTGCAGACACTCCATGGATTAGTGCTCCTAAGAACACTCTTAAGCCCCTCTAACTTCAACTCAGACCTTCTTCTTTTTTTTGCCTCTTCATTGTTAATACTAATTACTAAATACTAAAAAGACATCTGCATTCTGCATGTAGTGTGATAATAACACTCTTTGGTGGTGGTTTTATATATTGTTTATACTGTTTTAACAAAGAGTGATTTGGGTTTTATGTGTAGAGAAAATAAACAATGGGGTAAATTTGGGAATTGGAGAATATCTTTACGTTCCCCGGAACTTTCTTTATTATTCATTTGCCCTCTTTAGACTTTCTAAAATTCCTAATCAAATCTCAAGTGAGAGAACGGAACAAGTGTACTCAAATCCAAAGTCGCCAAATTAAGCGCAACAATGGCGACTACGATACCTCTCTTTGCTTCTTTCAAATACGCCGATAGCTTAACCGTCGTCGGAATCTCCTTCTGCACCGCGTTGGTCTGTGAAGCCATCTCATGGATCTTAATCTACCGCACCAACTCCTACAAGTCCTTGAAATACTCCATTGACAAGGCCGCGAAGAAACTCGAGACGATGAAGACTGAGAATCCATCTTCCAAGCTATCCATAAAGAAATCGAAGACGAAGAAGATAGATCGCGTCGAAACAAGCTTGAAGGAATCGAGCCGAGATCTGTCTCTCTTCAAGTTCAAATCCGGCGCTGTTGTGGCTCTGGTTCTCTTCGTCGTCTTTGGATTGCTCAATTCACTCTTCGAAGGTAAAGTCGTCGCGAAGCTCCCTTTTCACCCGATCACGATTGTGAAGAAGATGAGCCATAGGGGACTGAAAGGCGACGATGCGACGGATTGTTCAATGGCGTTTCTCTATCTGCTGTGTTCGATCAGTATAAGAACCAATCTGCAGAAATTTCTGGGATTTTCTCCGCCGCGAGGAGCTGCTGGTGCTGGTGGTTTGTTCCCAATGCCTGATCCCAAGACCAACTGATCAATCAGTATGATCGATCATCACTCCTTTTGATTATTTTTCAGAGATTTTTGAACAAATTGATGATTTTTCGTAATAAGATTTCAAGTTTTCAAAATTTTATGATGTTTGGATTCCGATTCGATCTATGGAAGTTAATCAAACGAGACATAAATAGTTGTTCTCTTCATTGAATCTTCTTTACAAAATTATCAACAAAAAAGAAGTTAACGAAACAAAGTCAGCAAATACCATACGCAAACTCTTGAATCACTGCACAAACATATCCTACTTACGTTGTCCATTCTCAAATCTCAAAATGATCGGTCCGTTTGTTCGGTTTGTCGTGTCTCTGATATAGAATCAGAGATTTCAGAATCAGCTCCTTGAGATGATCTCAACTTAGAAACGAGAACCCACATACTAGCAAGCTCATTCTCTAGATATGCTTCTCTCTGTTTCGTTTCTTCAACTATCCTTTCAAGCTCTGCTTCTCTTTGATCTCTTTCAACAAGTGCAGCTTCATACGATAGCTCACGTTCCTTACTCATCCTCAGTTCTCTCTTAAGCTCCATTGATGAGGTTTCTTGTTCTTGCCTCTTTACAAGACTCTCTCTTCTTCCATTGTTCCTTACATTTGTTGTTGTTCCTGTCTTGTTACGTTGTGTCACTGGGCTCTTTTGTGTTGCAAGCTCGGCTGCTAGTCTCTCGTTTTGATTCATAAGCTTTGCAACTTCTTCGGATAATGCCTTGAGCTCAACTGCAGCTGCTGATGCAAGACCTTTTGCATATGAACTCTCTTCTGCCAGTTTCCTGTTTCTGACTTCTAATTGCTCCTTTGTATCACTTAGTTCCTTAGCTTTCTGTTTCAGCTCTTCAATCTTAGTTTCCTTTTATGTCAGAGAGCAAATAGAGTTTGTTTAAGCATCATGTGGCTTGGTTTATAAGAAGAAGATTGGTGAAAACCACGGTTTTTGCATAACAACAAGTACGAAATGTATAAAGAGAAACCTGTGCTAGTTCCAGCGCATCAGAGAGCTGCTGCTTTAGGTTTGCAACTTCTTCTTGCAACACTTCACATTCACATGTCTGGAGAAAATACTTCATCAGTTACTGAATTCTTTTACACATTGTACTAGTCTCAAAGTTTTTGCAAAGACTAATCAAATCGGGGTGATCGTCAAAGACAGTCTACGAACCTTTTGATTGAGTGTTTCTTGAATGATGTGATTACCTGCAGCTTTAACCTGTAAACAAGATGGTGAATCAGAAAGCAAAAAAATGTAGAGCGGCTTCAATGCTAATGCAATTTGGCGTTTAGACACTGGTATTTATAGACAGAAGCAACTTTATTAAGGTATGAGCAGATACTATATTACGCTAAGAGAAATAATATTATCAAGGCATTAGCAAAACCATCTCTAAGTGCTTAGCAATAGATGAACAAGTATTGTGTAAACAAAAAGAATTTGATCACCTCGAGTTCAAAAGATTTCTCATTAAGTTGATCCCTTAGCTCAGCAACTGCCTGAAGATAATAGAAAATCACTTGAGAAATGAATGGCAGATCAAAAAGGTCACTGCGTAATATTTGACAGTGTGAACCTACCTGCACTATATCAGATTTATCCAATGCATCATGTGATGTCATAACAAAGTCCAAGATTTGTTTCTGCAACGCTGCAATCTGGTCATTCTTTGCATTGATGTCGTCATTGAGTACTTTAATTTCCTCCTAAGTAACAACGAGAACCAATAAGGTCAATATTTTTGCTAGAATTAAACAACTAGATAGAGATCATGAAAAGGGTGATATATTACTTCAATCTCTTCATTTTGAGAGGACTTTGCAGCCTCATCTAACAATCGTTTTAAAGAACTTGATTGCAGCGCTGCCTCTTCAGATAAAATCTTGTTCTGCTCCCTCAAGAGATCCAACTCATCACTCAATTTATTGCTCGTCTGGGAACAAGAAAAAAAGTCCTGTAAAACAAAGTGCAGGAATTGGAATTGATTATGAAAATATCTCTTACGTACCTCCGGAATCTCCATTTCATGAGAACTGTCTTCTAAAGCTTCTCTGTCTTCCCTAGGATCTGAGAGCTGTTCCATCAAAGGCGAGCCTTCAGAAATTCTGGACTCTGTGTGCAGATTACTGCCTCCCCCTTGAGGAGTTGATGGTGTGCTGTTGGATTTGACCACACTTGACTGGTCGCTGGCACTTGAACTGTGATCTCTTTTCTGATAGGAAAAAGTAAGCTTGATTAAAAAAGGAGACGAGAGAGGCACCAAAATATCAAAGAAGAAATTGCATCTAAGAGGACATAAGACCGGAGGATTATGACCCTTCACTTCCATTAGCGTTATTCGTTGAAGCACATTCGAGTTCCAAAAATCTATAGTGAGTTCGTGAAACATTTACAGCAGTACAAACCTATAGCTGCCCGCTGCAGTTCTGATACGAACAAGAATAACCCACAACTAAATTATCAATGTTATATGAAAATTAAATCATTTGTATACCTTAGGCTTTAACCAGTTTAATAATCCATGTTTCCGGGACTTCTTTTCTTCTCTATACGCATTATCTCTAATCTCATGATTTCCTTCCACAGAAACATATAGGTCAAGGTGCTCATCGTCCATCATGTCCCGCCTCTTGTATGGTAGGTAAGCAAGCTGAATATGCATCATCAACCAAGAATAGCCAAAGAAACTGTTGAATTTGTGTGTACTATAATAGATCAAAGTGAACCATCCTCAGAAGGAAACATGGAAACCACTTTTATGATAATCAAGGATTAATCAGTAGTTTTACCTCTTCTTCACCAAATGAATGTCTCCTCCGAGGATTAAAGCGGTGGGGTAATCGAGATGCTTGTGGATTTTTTGTCGACACCAAAATTAGTTTCGTCAACCGTTGGATTCGACTCAAAAGAGCTGCTTTAGCTTCTTCCTCTTCTTCAAGTCTGGATTGCAGCTTGACTTGACCATCTTCAAGCTTTTATCATCACGTTATATAGCAAAGAAAATGACAAAACTAGGTTACTACAGATTCTCTCTAATGTTTGATAACTTAAGTTATAAATAAATGGAGTGGTAGGTAAAATTTTGCATGATGCGTCCAGAATGATCTCTAGCAAAATTGACCTCCATCCTTTATTCTTTATGACAAATTGTTCTCAGAAAACATCAGGCCAAAAAAAAATTCTATCTTTCTCTTTTTTCCCTAACCCCACTACACAAGCCTAGCTAAGGATCAAAACAACAAAACAAATGTAGTTTTCCAGGCTAGAAAAAAAAAATTTGAGCATACCTTCTGCTTCAGGAGAACAATATCATCTGCACCAATATCTTTCAACTGAGTAACTGGTACAATTACCTGTTTAAGCTGTTCCAACTCCTCCTTCAGTTGGCGAATCTCGTGTTGGTACTTCTTGATTAATGATTTCTCATCAATTATCTACAATTTTATAGAGTTAGACACCATGAAAGACCTTTAGTGCAAAAGTAAGAGCTGATAGAAAATATGCATGGAAAACCTTGTTTTGCTCAGCTTGAATCTCAATATGCTTTGCACGATGAGCAAATTTCAATGTGTTGTGTGTTTCTTCTGAACTGCTTGATGCAGGGGTCACTGTACAAATGAGCTACCATATCCAGAGAAAAATCTAATCAGTAAAGTATACTACTATCAAGATATGTGTTTACCCTGCTGATGATCATCTAGATTTCATAATTACTGAAGCAAGAGGATCGAGGACAGCTCAAACAAGACTTACAGATACTCGGTCATGACCACTCAATGAGGACTGAAGGATTCTGGTTAACTTAGAGTCTCTGTATGGTACATGTGAAGCCCTCACATCAGTAAGCTTTGATATCACCTATAACATCACAACGAAACTATACAAATTCAGCTAATAGAATAATACTTAACACGTGACATGATAGGAAAAAATTCTGATAAAACAAGAGTACGCAATTGTTTAATTGTAAGGTTTAGAAAAGAACAGATCTGAGATATGGGTAGCAAGCAAAATGAGATATGGGTAGCAAGCAAAATGATGAAAAGGTGGAAAGGTGATTCTACTGATAAACTAGCTACGTACTGAACTATAAAAGACCACAAAATGTATGTGTGATCTGCAACTCTCAATATATTTGGGGATGGAAAGTGGCTTAATATATAAATACAACACGAAAAGCAGTCTTATTATCAAATCTGCTTTAAAAGAAAATGGCAAAGAAATCCTTAAATTTAACTGAACTTCAAACCTATTATTAACTAAGTGAAAACTGTGGTAAGAAAAAAACTCACAGTCCCTAAAGTCAGCAAACTTTTATTGATATATGATCCTTCCTTGCGTCTTAAACCACTGGTTTCAACCTTTGAACTCTCGGAACCTGCCAGATCAACGAGGTTCTGCAGATATGAGAGAAATTAAGGGCAGTTAATATCAGATATTCACCTTTTTAATTTTTCAAACAATTTAAGTTATAAACAGATTATTAGGATTGATCATAACCATACATAACATCACTAGATACAAGATGAGCTTACCAGCTGGGAGAGGTGTACAGCTTCTCCTTTATTCTTGTCCCCTAAGGGACTACTTTCTATTGTCTGCATCCAAATTAGTTTATCATCTTTCAGAAACAGGACAGCTATATAATTTGATGTGACTAAATAACTAGGATTTGAAAAAGGAGAAAATAAATTCCTTGAACAGATGAATACATATGAAAGAAGAACATAGTACACAACTTGTGCTGATAAAAAAAAAGGAAGTGTAATACTTCAGTATTCAAATTTTTAAGCGTTCAGAGGATTATAGGGAGAACATTTACTGAGGTTTACCCTGATAGTAATACAAAATAAACTCGGATTTTGTGTCCATTCATCCACTTCACAAGTGTAATCACGTGAAGAAAAGAGATGATATAGCAACTTCACAAAGATAGCAGGTTTTTCCAATACTTTTAAGAGAATATTTTACATACCAACGTAAATATTGTATGGCTCCGGCTGCTCAGCAAATTAAAATTTGTGGATCCCACATGTCGTTGCTCTGCCATGAGTACAAAATTTCTATCATGACAAGGTTTAAGAATGAAAGGGATTTACTGGAAACAAGAAAAAGGGAAATTACTCTTTCGAACTGCTCTATCATA